AATTCACCTTTAAGTATGTTCGCCTTTGCGCGCCGAATTCGAGTGCTCCAGCCATGCGATAAATGAGTGCTTCGTCCCCGAAGCCTTCAACTAAGTGGCAAATCTTGCAAACTGGAAAATGGGTTATTTTAACTGTTTCCGATTTTGTCAAACCTCACTGGTTTATTAGAATATCGCGGGAGCAGCTGTCCTGGGCAATTACTGAAAATTATAGTTAAGCAATGGTGTAGCGTCAGTCGGTATTCCGGTCATGCTTACGCGGAGTGATGCGATGGTCTGTCCAAATTTCCCAACAGCATTCATTGGAGACTGTACACGCTCTCTAGTTTGGCAACAACAGTCTTGGAACCTGACAAATCACTAGTCACCGTCCACGAGGAAGACACTTTTGTTCCAGGAATGTATGCTTTGACCCCAGTGCCAACAGCGTACCCTACAGTCTAGCACAAGCCTTCGCCTCACCAGCTCTTGGGCATTTTGTCACAATTGTATTAAACAAAAAGCATATTAAGAGTTGCTCTGGGAAGATCTGTAAAGTGTTCCGCTATGTATTCTCCTGAGAGAGTACAACCAGACAAAATAAGCACCGATATCCACCTCGTGTTAAGGTTAGCTTCTGGCATCAAATGGCGTGACAGTTCAGTAGTAAACTTTTAACCCTTGCGGTTGGTCACTTTTTTCTGGCAGCACTCTCATCACATTCCTGACGGCTACAAGTTGCTCTGCGACTTTATCCCCGAAATCTTCATGCTCAGCAAGACGTGGAAGGCGGTTAAGGATTCAAGTAGGGCAATTTTGCCAGCTTATGTCAATCCTTCTCTTGATGTGCTGGTTGCATACTAATGAATGCTGTGACTACAGCTGGTGACCTAACTAACGAAGGGTGCCGAAATTTACGAATTGGTGCTTAATCACTCGCAAACCGACACCAGTTGCGTGGACCTAATATCTGTGTTAATTAATAACAAGTTCAGGGAGATTGAAAAAAATAAAACAAATGTTAAAGGTAATTTTATGTTTAAAAATTCCAAGTTATTTATAAAAGCGGGAAATCTCGAAGACGTCAGAAATCGTGTAAACGTTAGTTTAATATGTACGCTCAGATGCGCAACCGAAGTCTAGGACAAGTATTAGAATAGCAGATTTCCCGATTACGCGGAAACGTCCATTTTCGCCCAAATTTATGAACAGTTTGCTGGATAAAATTACGTTGACACATTTTCCACAAAAGAAAAGGACATTCTCTTAAACAGACTGGACGAGCGAGCATAATGCGTAACGTTTAAGACGTCTGAAAATCCTCATATAAGTTTCTGTCGTCTGGCGTCATGAGATAGGTCACATACTGTATGTGACCACCCCGAGCGGCATTCGCTTGGAACTAGTCAGTTCAAATCAGATTGATGACTAGTGTAGAACCCTTGTCGCCACTGTTGTAGCTTCCCCCGGAGCATTATCGTCTGCTTTTGCGGTCTTAGCTGGCCCACCGGACGGCATTTCCTATGCTGCCTATATCTCACAACTGACCGATCAGCGACGCCTTGGGGCTCACGTGGACTAGACAGGCCACTTGGGGGCAATGGGCTGTCTGTTCAAAATGTGGCCGGACGATGACCGAACGAGCGAAGCGAATTCGCATTAGGCGCAAGAAGGGGATTAGCCCGCGTCAAACAGTGCCCCTAATAAACGGCTATCCGATTAACCGGAAGTACTGTCGATCATTTCGCAAAGTTTGTTTTTCACCGGCCGTAGTGAAAGGCATGACACTAAAGGCCACTGAACCTGGTCACCCAGGTAGATTAAACCAGAGGGCTTGTCCACCAACGAGATTTCCTCGAATACGATTATTAGAAGCAAGGCGAAGAGCCTCGTCATTGGTAAATACTTCCCTTGTAGGTATGATGTGCGAACTTTACCAAAAACACCATCCGCAACTTAAATTATGGAGCGATTTTCTGGATTTCGGACCTAGGTTATGTTTTCAAGAAAAATAAACAGAGCTGTCGATTTTTGGCCTTGTCCGTCAGTTGTGGCTTATAACCCCCTATAAGGATTTTTTAATTTGAAGCCCGTGAGTCTGTATATAAATCCATTACGAGGCCAACACTCCACATTTTTATGCCAATAAGTTTGCGCCTACACCACAGTAGGAGCCCTAAGCTGCGATCTTGGAATGTTAAAGGCATCACTTAGAACGGGCGTTAGCATTAACCAACTTCCACCGCGGTTGCTGAGGCAAGTCGTTCCAACCACGAGGATTACCGGCGGCCACTGATCGCAGAACCGCGGCTCACGCAGACCCAACTGTCAAATTCCATCAATGCCATAAATTATGTAGATTTCACACAATGATCGCTGGCTGCGTAGGCCTTCAAAAGTAGACAAATGGTCCACGCACAACAGTTAAAACACAGTGCCAGTCATCCCGATTACAGTCTCCAGCAAATTCAGCACGGGTGCAACGGCAAACGTCCACGGATCACTGGCGTCCATGTCCCGACAGTCAGTTAATTAAAGATTCGCGAGGTGCAGGCAGATTTCACCGGAAATTTTGAATGCACGAAAATAGCGGCGTCATCGCTCTTTCCACCCCTCCAAAGCGCCCATGGACACGGCACCCTGTGGTGGCTCAGTAGCTAATGTTCTACGGTAAGTGGCCATTGTGTGAAAGACTACGGCAAATCAGAAATCTTGGTTGCCCGAACTATTCCCAGACAGTGCCGCATCGCAGGGGTGTCAAGCTCTGCTTTCGACTTCAGGTCCAAGTGTCGTACCGATCCGTATTGCTGAAAATGAAACCTTAATCTTGATTAAGCCACTGAACGGTGTTCGAAAACCTGGATTCGAGCATGCTGTCAGCCACATATTTTTTACTAAACGTCCTAAGGTCAAGAATCGGTGAATCACCTCTCAGGTCTGAACAGTTGACAACGTCCTTAAGTAATTTATGTAAGACTGAAATAATGCTTGTTCCAAAAGACTGTGGAACCACGAGACTTAAGCAGATCGAAAAGAGAAACCACGTCGCATAATCTAACTGCCGACTCCACCCAGAATTTGTGTCAGGTGCGTTACCGCCTAAGTTGCAGGGGAAATTTACGCCAGCTATGAAAATAATAGGCTTTATCTGTGTGCCACCGCACAGCTGGCGAAAACGGTCCGCCGGCCAGGCGATAAGGTTTCTTAACGCGAATTCGCCGGTCCAGATCGGTCCTGGGTGCTTGTTTTTTGGCCACGGGAGTCAAACATTGACGGCGTATTGTGCTGAAGTGAAGCCAACAGGCAATTGAGGTTGTTGGGACACTTTTTCCCGGACTGAATTTGAAAAAAAATAGATAGATGAAGAAGCCAACATTGGATGACCTCCCGTTCAAATGCTAACGATGAATGCGCGTTCATAACACCAGCGACTTAATAAGCAAACAGCCCGGACGATCACACGAGACAGTTACATAAACAGGAGAAAGTGCTGAGCAGGCATGCGGGTGGGCGTGGTGCGAGTCGTGTCGGTGAGCCAACCTTGTCGGGCGTGATCGAGACTACACGGCACGGAATGCCAGATATGTGGGGGTTAAGGCGGTGGAACTTTCCTACACCGACCCTCCACCGTGGCGGTGCGGAGTGGACCACGTGACCCAACTGTCTGCACGGTTCCGGTTTGCTCTCACTGCCGTGGCTTTGAGTAGTGTAGGAGACGTCTAGTCGTCCCTCGAAGATCTCTGAACGTCGTGCCATTGAATCAACCACGTGGCCGGCGTACACCACGTGTCCCGCAGTTGAACTTCTCTGCGCCTTACCTTCAGCTGCCAGCAGTCAGTTCGGCAGACGTCCCGCCGAGTAAGTTGCTAGCTTCCTTCGCCCGCACCCAACGTATTTGGATCTGCAATTGCACGTATACCCATAGATACAGTTTGACGTGTAGACGATACCTTTAATTGGCCCTTAAGAAAAACACGCTAGCGACGGCGCATACCGTGGGCCGTTCGAGATCTGATTGCTATACAGCACATGCTCATCGTCCCGTGCCTTGGAGCTTAGCTAAGTCCTCGCAGGCAGTCGCATAGCGACCAGTAACACTGAAGAATAAATACCGACCAGGACATGGGAAACTGGGGTGGCCATCCCCAGTTTATTATTCTTCTCAACCCTAGGCTCGGGTAGCCGGATGACGAGCGTTGCAAGCCAGGAAGGACCACACCTGCCTCTCTTGTCCTTGTCGGTATTTATTCCTTATCCAGGCCATCGCAGCTATCCAACTGCATATGCAATGCGTTTCATTTACGTCGGCCCGGCTACTGACAAAACTTCAGTAGTCTTGTAGGAAATAATTAGGTTTTTAGCACCGCGATGGACGAGTCTACAGCGCCCCGCGCCTCGAATTCAAACGAGAGATGACGCGAATTTTGCACGAGGTTCTCTACTAAAGACATGGGAACTTTTCTTGTAGTTCCGTACTTGGGGACAACATTGAAATTTGATGCAGCACTGAGGTGCAGAAATAACTTGATCAGCTCGAGAGAGTGGTAAGCAGGCCAGACTACGGGTCAAACTACGATGATGATGATGGTGGTGGTGGTGGTGAAAACGACCCTGCGATTAAAACTGTGGCGCAGGTGCATTTTGGGTTCGGGCAATTTAGGTAACACTTGAGAAGACTAAGATATCAACAGAAATCCGTCGACACTTTCCCGGCACCATTTAAATCGCGCATGGTTTTAAAGAACTGGGAGCTCTAACTTAAAGAAGGCAAACACTTGCAAGGATTGATTTAATTTACAGAAGTCCACTGCCCAAACCACCAGAACTCAAAGAACAAAAACAAAGCAGGATTCAAATGATGGAATTGTAAGACAGTTGTAAAGATGACAAGTGGTAAAAAATTTCGGAAAGGAATGGCTCCCAAAACAGTATTTCGAAGGAGTGAAAGCCAATGCCATGCGATCCCATAAGGTGCTCCAGTTTCTAGTGCCGTCGAAAAAGATATCCCCAGCTCAACTGCGCTAACGCGTATGTATGAAATCTCTATTTTCGGTGGTGTCTGTCTCCCAGATTGTCGACCAATCAGGAATTGTCTTCTGTTCTAAGTACTTGCTTCGGCTATAAGATCGACCGGGAAGACTCTCGAGGGCTCCGAATATGGATCCTGTAGGGATTTGAATTAAAGAGAAGTGTGAGTAAAATGACTATGGTGCAACGTTGACTATGCGACTTACGAAAATCAGACAAACTTAGAGCAGAAGTCATTTCATTGTGGAGAAAGGAAGAGGAATGCACTGAACAAAAGGCAGTTTAATGGAATTTTTCTTCGGACTGCAATCTCGATAAGGAAATGTACCGATAGCTCACATGACTAAGGGTAACCGTGAATAATGATCACCTAGATGTTAAGGTAGCAGACGTGTTTCAAGTCGGTCCGTTAGGTGCAAAGCAATGGCCGAAAATGAACCAAGTGCTTTCCTTAGCACGATCCCCTGTGTTTGGTCGTGAATTTTAAACATGTCTGGATTTAGTGGCAGAGATTATCATAGGCTCCATAGAACAGCCAGCAAAGAGCCTCCTCGGAGGATTAAAGACTTAAATAATTCAGAACAAGCTTTCAAGTCAGCTATACTGAGGTAATATCTCGGCTGATGCCAGTAGTTGAACGCCTGGACTTAACTGTACTTTGTATAGACTTCAGTGCTACTATCACAGCGGATGGCCAGAAATAGGCCTCCTGTGGCTAGTTCAGACACGCACCGATTTTGAACTCTCTTGAACACGACACTCCGATTAGCTCATTCACCGAGGGTTGTAAAACCGTATCGCTACTGAAATTATGGCATCCCATAGAAGGGTCGTTTACTCAATTAGTCGCTATGCACACAGAACAGCTTTTCGCCTCTTCGTCGCAGTGGTTTAAGCTGTCAATTATTTAGGTAAACGTCTGGGAAGGATTGAAAATAATTCATAAAGCTGGAAAGGTGAGACGGAGGACAGGTAGAGAAGTAAAAAGTTATTAAATGAGACCAGAGCGACATAAGTTCTGGTTAGACAGGAAAAGCAACGTCACGGGACCAAATACCTAACAGACCTAGACGGCAGTATAAGCTGGCAGGAAAACAAACACAAAAGAGGGGTTTGGACTCAATCCAGAGGAGCGATAGCGCCTTACCCCCAAGCCAGGCGGTATAATTGGCTTTCGACGGTGGATTATGGAACTTGATGGAGTCTTTCAGGGCGGCAATGGAGGCGTAACGTGGCAACTCGAGGGCACTCTTAATTTCCTCATTGAGGCGATGTAGAAAACCGGGCGTCATGCAGGTGCCACCGATACAGACAATGTTTTCAATCAGCTGCCTGAAGGAGTTAAAAAAAGTTAAAGGGAATGCATGGATGGCGTAGATTGTGCAATACGTAAAAGGCACACAGACTGCAGACCCGGACAGAGGCAAGCGCAGATGGTGACTGCATCGCAGAATACAAGAGAGCCGTCTGACGGAACTTCGGTGCCGGTTGATAACCCGTTACCTTACTCTGGACGTTTCGGACGATTTGGTCCGATCGTTCCCATGTCACCATAGGGTCTTTCTGGCAATTCAACAAAGTGAGGAAGGAATGACGAAACAAAAACTCGGGCAGCGAGGAAGCCGAGCGTGAAGATCGAACATCTGGGCTCGGAATCGGATAGTCTGTGATGCATGGGATGTATGAGCTAGCATTAACTCGACAGTGGTGACAGTCATCGGTGGCCAATGACATTCTGTCAGCATCAATGGAAGCTGAGCCATTGACTTTGTACAGGCAAAATAGGCAGTTGTGTTTTTTTTTCACATAAGAAGGAAACTGTTCCGTGGAAAACCACGCCGGTGGGCGCTGGAGACGGAGCCCTATCTATGTAGCGAAAGTCATTACACGCAATATTTTGCTTTTAGATCCTGTGGAGACGCAATTGGAAAGGGCTAGTTTAGATGGCACTAAATACTGTCTGTAATGAACTGGCACACCGGTGAAAAAGCTTGCGCTCTGACAAAATTCAACAGTGAGCATCACTTCACGCAACTGTAGAGCAAATTCGTCAGGCGCTTTTGCGGAAAAAACCCGAAAGTTTTCGTGCTAGCTTAGTTAAAGGCTGAGGGGAAACTGTGCAGAGATTTACGGCCAGCGGATAGGCTAGTATTAAGACTGTTAGTGTTTTAGTCAGTTCACGTAAACGACAGTGACTAGATTTCTACACAAGTCCAGACTGGCCGTAGCAGCCAGCGAGTGTATGGTCGATACAGGCGGGAAATGTGAGCTCTATGATGCAGTCTTCTCGATTTTCTTGTTATTTTGACTACTGGGGGGTTTATAAGGTCCATTATGGGGTAGTGTTCAGCGGTGATCCAGTTGTTGAAATCAGCTTCTGGTCATGTTAGCTAGATATTCCGATTGCTCTACCGCAGGGCAAAGTTATTATGCTTCAGACAACCTGGCATCCGGAGTGAAGGCAAAAGAAAAAGTAGAGAGCTTGGGGCGTTGCCCGGACCTCATCAAGGATCTAGGGATGTCCTGTTAGGTGGTATATCGTGTCGGGATGATAGGTGGCTCCATGTGCCTTGTGCAGGTGGTGGTGGCTGCTAACCATGGCCTTAAGCCATAAACAATCTGGCGAGCCTTTAAACTATTACGATGCACTAAAAGTCGTGGTCTGGAAGGCTGCCGACTGACGGCAGAACTCGGTCCCCTCAGAACGGAGAGTCAGGCTGCAATAGCACCCCCACTCAGATGGGATCCGAGCCGGAAAATAGCAGGCGAACTTGCAGTAAATCCGCCAGAACAAAGGCTGATATGAATATTATGCGGTTATTTCGCAGTAGCTGATAGATTTCAGCACAAATATTATTTATCAGCTTTCGAACCGAGCCAAAGAAGCTTCGTTACGGAGGATTTATTCAAAAACCGATATTAACATCCAAGGAAGGGACAGTACTGAAACTGGAGTCTATATGTCAAAATGCACACGAGGAACGCTGGAGGACTTGTGGATGAGCCGAGCCCCTTACGCTTACGTCATTCGGCGATAAAAGATCGCCGAAAAATGTGTCTGGGCTTTTAGTTAATACCTGTGCTGTCACTATGGCTGTTTAGCTTTGTCAACCACCGCGCCCGATTCCACCGTCTTGTCACCGGTCCCAGGATGGTGGAGGAAGAGGGCGTGTGGTAAATGCTACGCAAATCTATGAGCACTATGAACTAATTCGAGCACAAATCACCGTCCCTGAGACTACCTCGTCGTGGGACACACGGTTGAACACTAAACAGAAACGTAGTTGGACAAACGGAAGTGGTCAACCAAAGTACTCCTGGGGATGGCATGAGGATAGCTCAGTCCAAAGGACGTCTGCTTCGTGCGACGAAAAGAAACTAATGGTGGCGAATTATGCCGACTAAACGGGGCCGAGGCCTTGCTCACAGCAGACAAGCCTCCCAATGCGAAATCTGTCACAGCTCGAGTTCGTTAAGTAGTGACGCTAACTGCACACAAATATTGCCACGGTTTACCGCAATGGTACATGGAACGCAATCTGACTGATGTTTGTACAGCAGTGGGAGGAACAAATCCCATCGCTGGTGAAAACTGAGGAGGCACCACTAGTGAAAGAAGGACAGCTCCTTTCATTTAGTAGGAAATTATCACCACCAGTCTTTCTGCGGACAACGGAAGCCGACAAGGCAGTAATGGATTGGCAGGCTGCGTAAATAATAATAATAATAATCATCATCATCAACATCATCACCACCATCACTGTGATAATATTTGGCACTGAAGTGGCTCTGAACGGCTTCGGGCGTCCGGTCAGTATCGGTCGCGAATCTGGCTGCCAAAAGCGAAAGGCTGGTAAAGGCTGGAAAGCGTCGGATGAGTAAGTTGGCGTAGATGCAATTGGAATGGGGAAGCAGACCATCGCCTATGCTATAAACAGATACACATGTCGCCAGGTAGCCACTAGGTTATGGCCAAGTTTTGCCGACGGTCTAAAAATGCTGGCTAAGTGAAGACCTACTTACACAGCGGGCCTTCGTGGACGAAAGGCGCATAGCCAAGTGATTGCAGGGAAGCGTCTTGCAAAGTGAGTTCTGACAGCCGTCGCGTTCTACTGCAACTAGCTGCTATGTTATGCTAACGACCGCCTCAAACCCTCATCTCAGTCTGCTGGCTTCACTGTAGCACAATGGGATTCAGAGTGAGTGACGGTCAGAACACTAAGATGCACTGTCAATCAATTGCTGACTACAGGGACAGTGAAGAGAAGCATAACACTGCTACGAAGGCTTATTATTATCTTAATGACGAAGGATTTGAAGGTGGCCAATTGAGGACAAATCCAAGCTAGCAGGGCGGGCGGAAACATACCTACGACAATCGATTGGACAGAGGAGGAGGGACTCTAGGATGAGCGTGTGCAGAGTTACGTTGTCGGTGTCTCCTGTGAAGAGGCCTTCGCAGGCCGTCTCCCGTAGCCTCGAGGGTATCCGCAGACACTGACCGCCGTCGTCGCCTAGCGGGTAGGCAAAAGACTCCTCCGCGTATTCGGGCAAGGGAATGTTGTCGTGCGGTTCGGTGCCCTCCTTGGTTAACAGGCGCCAGTTATTCCACAAAGCGGCCCTTTCTGCTGGACTGACAAAACAGGCGCGCACTGTGTGAGGCACAGCATTAAGGAGACACGCAGAACCTACCCTTTATGTCCTCCAGACGGCTCTCTGATAACTGTACATGTTCTAAAACATGAGGGTAAGGGTTGAGAAGATTCGTTGCGAAGCAAAGACAGCTTACCGCTATCAAAAGGTATTTGCTGTTGCTCTGTGGAACTCACGTCCACCAGGTAGGCGGATTGACGAAGTTGTTTTTCAAGATCACTAAAATGAAATTTGGAGGGAAAGTTACTCGGAAAATCATGTATGCAAGGTACATTCCTGAATTACATCTATGTCAATAACTGAACACGAAAGGTGCTGCGCCTGAGAGTGCTAAGGACTTTCTATGTCCCATTACTTGAGGTTTTTCGACAAAGTCCGCTCTAAATTCTCCAATTTAGGATTCCACCCCAGTTCATGCTAAACTTGGCTAAGTTGCAACACCTGAGCCACGTTGGCAGTAGTTTGTGCATATTGAAGGTTGTGAGTTGACAATTGAGATAGTAAATAGGTTGCTAATCAATAGAACACCAGAAAATAGCGCTAATGCACGACAAACAGTAAGCGTCTCGAATGACCCCTATGTGCTCCTCTCTTGCCCTTCTCCTGACACAAGCGGGGACAATAATCAATAAAGCAGAGGCATCGGCCAAATCGACATCGTCTTGAGGGCGTTTTCTGATGTCTAGTGGGAACGTTCCTGCACCTCCAAGGATGCCTGGGATAGAAAACATCGAGGCGCCTAAAGGCCCGTAACACTACCCAAGTTGACACAGACAAAACTCTTAAAGTACGATATGGATAGCAGCACTTCATTGGCGATGTTTTCAGTCAAAGAAGTGTGTCCTGTCCACCAGTCCCAATTAGCCATACGATGACTAGCGAGCTGGCAACAACAACGCCAATAATGATGAGAATGGTCCGCACGAAAAATTTTACGGTGAGAAGTAAGCAGGACCAAAGGCCGTGAGAATGATTAGCTGAGTAACTTCCACAGCCCAACCTAGGGTGTTCGCCGAGGCTACGTTTTCCTGTCAACTCTGTTTGACAGGGTGAGACTATATTCTGCGGCGCACACTTGCAAATTACGCCGATGCTATATGAGGTTGCGGTTCACACGCATTATGGTTCTTGAAAAAGCTGATGGCGTTTTGGTGCTGTCAAGCTCCTTTGTAGAAACGCAGTCTGAAGCGTTTCAGATAAGCGCGAACGTGGCCGACGTGAACCTAAATATCAACATCTCCAAAAGGAAGACGATCATCAGGGGGTGTCCAGCCACAGCAGAGGGGTGATTTCTGGGGTTAAAGGACGATCTCTGATGCCTTAAGTTCAACTTTCTGACATGCAGGGAGGGTCGAATCGATCAGCTGATTAAGTGGGCGTCGAAGCTTCCGGAATCGGGGTTAAGGCAGAAAGGGGACTGAAGACAAGTGAGTCAAATTTGGTTGGAAGGATCCCTCTCGTGCTACAGGTGGCTTTGCGCTAAGTCCCAGGGGATGCCTATTCCCGAGTGGCAAATTTAATTCTAAAACTAACTCTCCAAATTAAAACTAACCCTCATAACTCTGGCCCTACCAACCCTAACCCTAACATCCTGGAATTTAGCGCAAGGCCACTTGTAATACGGATGGGTCCTTATTCCCGTGCCCTACCGAAACGTTTAATTTTTGGATATTAAGCACGAGTGTGTTGTCATAAGAAATGCATCTTCTGAAGGCAACTGATCGCTGGCACTCAGGTACTTTTCTCCGAAATCGTGTCTTCGGACGAGTCTCGTAATAACTGTCCTATGTAATAGGTTAGGAACGCAACGCGCCAACTGCGTCTTCCATGTTTGCCGGCAGGCATGGTGCCGCCAAGTGATTTACCAACATGACGGCTAAATCGTCCTGGATGTTATATAGTCCGGACCCGACTCTGTCTTGCGACGGGGTTGGGGTGGTCCAGCTAAAAAGTATAATTTGTGAAAGGCAACGTCAAGTGCACCCTTAACCCTGCAGTCTTCGGTCTGCGTTGCGACAGAGAAACAACAGTGTAAGGCAACTGATCGTGATGCAGTCAATCCGCAGCACATAGACGACTAAATCAACAATGACGAAAGTTGTTACATGCATTAGCGGGGCTCCGACGTCAGGTGCTATCAGTTGCCTGTTGGTGGTCCCTTGTTCGAGACGGGGACCAGTCCCAATCATAAGGAGGGCTGCAGCATTAAAATGCCCTGCTGGTTCGTATGTTCCGAAATAACTTTGACATGCTGGGACAATCCTGAGATAGATTCGAAGTCCGCCTTAAATTTTCAAGGTTAGATATAAGTTGTCTATTGTTGGGTGGCAGCATGACGACAGGTCAAGTAGAACCGATAAAGTATAGCGGTCTCAATGAGAAGTTATAGTTCCAAAAAGAGCATTTTAGAGCGCTCTCCGACTATAAAAACCATGTAAGATGGGTCTCATGACTCTCAGTTAAAGCCGGACATAAGAAAGGTAACAGTTTGGAGCGAAAACCATGTTAAACGGAAAATCGAGTGGCCATTCGAAACCACAAAACTCGCATTATTGCCATGTTCGATCTAGCAGGCTTCAAAGGCGTTGTGAATGGTACTTCTGCGTGCATAAGGCCTACGACGCACTGATGATCGGTAACGACCGTGAAACAGCCGTCTGCGTCTGGCCTGTTGCACTCTTAGTAAGCAGAGCATGCATTATTTGCGGCAGCCGATGTTTTGCGCTGTACACCCGTCCGTCTTCAACAACGAAGACAGAATACCGTAGATCCAACAATTAACACCATACCTTTATGAACGTCGCCTCGCGTTAGGCAGCAACTTCGGACAATACTGCTGGAGTCGAAGAGCGCATCCAAACTACTTCAGCCGCCCGTGACTTCGCTTCAGCCAGCGCACAATGCTTTATTTGGTGCAGTGTAGTCCGCTTGGAGGATTATTCTCATTTGGCTTCGGGCTGACCAGTGGACTGACATTTGACGGGCAGTGAAGTAGTTTTTGTCGATGACCCACAGCGAAATAAGCAGACTATCAGGTCTATCGAATGACCGGTCGTAAACCATACACAGGCAACGCCTTCAGGTGTGGCTTGGCGCCGACCAGGCAGATCGATTACTAATAAAGGAAAGCTACATACCACCACTGTCTTAAGGCTAGGGGAATGTCGGCTGCCAACCAATGAGGCTGTCGTCGCCTCAGGCACGAGTATCCCTTCCACAGGCTGAGGACTTCGTACGTAAAGTATTCCCGTGGGCTACCATGAACATAAACGACTCTTATCTGGGACTATTAGACCGACAAAACCTGTATTGGTGCTTAGCGTAGCAACAACGACATGGATGGTGGAGGAAAACCTGCACTTTCGCTCCTGAAGGAAAACATAAATTTAACGGTAACCTCCTTTGAAAGAGACAGAAGTAAAAACTGCCAAGTTGCTACCTCTGGATGCGCTTTCCACCCAGTGGGCCCGACTGCCAGGCGCCAAGTATGGTAAATCCCTCGTAGACCTACAGACCGTGAAGGACACTGCAAAAGAGAAGGAAATGGCTTACAGGTAACACCAGTGCCTCTCTATAACCACAGTCAAGAACCATGGCAGTTGAAATGCCGAGGGTGAAAAGAGAAACAACATGAGCGGGAGCGAAAACGATGGAGGGCACCTGTTGAACAAAGACGTGAGAGGATTAACTGGACGGATCACAAACCTCAAAGTGCATAAATAGAATTTCACCCAATGTTTCCTTGAATTTGGAGGGTGTCATAATGGACTCTATCACTACAACACGACGATCCTTGGGGTTCACAATGAGGTACCTAGAAGTTGAGAGGTTCCGAATACATGGGCAGGCAGACTTGCCTATAACAGAGCCGGTGAATGAGTTCTTTTAGAAGTTCCCGAAGGTTTGGAGTCTAAATGGTGACAGGGAGAGGAGTAATGTATTATCGGACAAAGTAGCAGCAGTTGAGACATGACGCGATTAAAAACTACATGACTAAAGGGTAGGTTACGCCAAATAAAGTTGAATAGTTGACCTCCCCTTGACGTCTAATTCATTAAGACCAGCTAAGAGAGAGTGTGGGCCTTTCCACCACCGTTAAATGTTATCAAAAAGACCGAAGAGAATAAAATGGCCATGGAAGATGTATTTGCCGTCGTCAGTCAGTTATGCGATAGCTCCAGGCCACGAGACACGAGGTTAGAGTTCTAGCTCAAGTGGTGGTTGCGCCAGGGACACACGTTGGTTGAGACAGAGACAATTCAGTTACTTAATTGTGACGTTCGATGTTTTAGCCTGGTCGCAGGAGGGAATTCAGTCGTTTCGGCCTGAGTTTGGGGTTTGGCTGGATGAAAACAGCAAAAAAGACAAATTGCCACTCCAGTTTTCCCTGTTTTTGGTATTGTGTCTCAAACACTGATAGCTCATTGATGTGATACCGTCTGGGTGGTGCCTAGACCGGAGTTCCAAGACAATTAGGAGAACCTACATTCCGCCCTGTAGTTATGTCGGACAGATGGGCGCCATGCTAGCTTAATGCTCCCGTACACCGCGAGTTCAGACCGTGAAGGCTCGGTCTCCAGAACACGCGAACGCGAGTTTAAAAATTTCAGTAGCTAAGGTCAAGCTTAGGCATTTCTGTGCCAATGTTCACAAATTCCCATAAGTCCTAAGTAGGAGACAACGCATAAAGACACTTACCTTCAAGTCTGGGTCTCCAAAGGGAGAAGGAAGAATAAAACGAGGGCAAGCCTCTCCTGCAAATCCACACCTGGGTGAAGTGGGTGGATGGGTGGATGAGGGGAAGCTTACTTGATACACGCAGAACCGAAATCAAACACTATAGGCGTCTTCTCGCCCAAGACTACAGAATCGTACGTAGGCATTCGTTTCCCGATAGTACTGTTGTGGTGAAAGAGAGGGAGAAAGAGAGGAGTAAATGGCCTTGAAAAGTGGCTGTGCAGACAAAAGGAGAGCAAGGCAGCTTCAAACAATGAGAGGGTGCGACAACGCGGCAAATAGGATACAGTTGGAGATCTGAATTTTAGTATTCAAAAGGCAGATTAGGACTTGCACCCGCAAAAAACTGGCGATCATAGAACCGCGTTTTTCACCTAATGACTCACCAGGCAGCGGTACATGTTAAGTGAAGAAAACAAAGTGTCGACTGTTTATTGACCAGTTCGCACACCGTCAGAAATGGTCATTTTCCACAGAATATTTTGGCTTGAAGATAAAAGCTTGGTTCAAGAGTCAAAATATCCAGTTATTTAAATCAAACGGAGTGGATAATGGTGTATAGCGGAAGGCGATATAGCAACAACACATGGGAACAAATGGCGGCATGCATGCTGTCCAAAACAATTGGAAGGTATTTTGACGTAGCCCTCAGGGGTTACGCGGCGTATCCATGAATGGTAGGCATTGGAACGGCCTATAGCGATAATCGCCTGCGAAATAAGTCAACTCTCCAGTGTCCCAAAAAGGAAGTCGCAGACCATGAGCGCCAATGCTAGAAGGATGCAGGCGACTGAGCTAAAGCAACAGACTGTCACACAGTATGCCGCACGGATACGAAATCTGGCCTGAGCACCGCAGTGGCCGGTGAAAATCTCAAATCCAATGATACGGGCAGGGCAACTGGCAAACGGGCAAACTGCAGTCACCAAAAATAGCGCAACAGAGGTGATAATACTGCGGCCATAATAAAAATTCTCCAAACGACAAGTGATAAATTAGGTGGGAAACGGGCGAAAGCCATAAAACGCAAGCAATGAAATGAAGTATTAGGCAGGGGAGAAGGTCGCACAAGCGGGTATCTATTATTTATTTAGTAGTGGCGCCAAGCATACAAGTAGAAAGACAATGTTTGTCCCTTTCCTGCCATCGGGAAATATTACGTTGCGGGCTTATGGGACGAGACTATCATCTACCTCTACAAGCGCCAAGGAAACTAGCAACTCTGTGATAACCACCGATGCATCTAGTTGCTCAACATCGCCAGGAAGATCTTCGCTTGCCTTTCTCTTAATCGTCTCAGAAGCCACCGTGAGCAAGGGCCGCTTCCGGCAAACTAGTATGTCTTTCGATGACACAGCGGAACCATTTGCATAATCCTCGCCGCTCACCACCTACAAGAGAATTGTCCGAAGATGCGAACCCACCACTACACTACCTTCGTAGACCTGGTCAAGGCCTTTGACACGGTGCATCATGATGGAACGTGGAAAATCATGCAGAAATTCGGCTGTCTTGAGCGATTCACGCACTTGATATGTCAACTCCACGACTGGATGATGGGGAGCCCCACGGACAACGGGGCAATCTCCGAGGCATTCGCAATGGCCAATGGATCGAAGCAGGGCTGCGTACTCGCTCCCATTCTCTTCAGTCTCATGTTCTCCGCCAGGCTGATAAACGCCTGCCGCGATGAGCGCCCTGGGATGCATATCGTCTGCAGAACTGACGAGCATCTACTAAACATCGGGCACATGCAGACTCCAACGCAAATATCTACGAATACTGTCCAAGACCCGCTCTTCGCGGACGACTGTACGTCCAACATCACGTTTAAAGAGGACATGCAAGGGAGCATGGTCCTCTTCGCCGCCGGGTGCGCCAACTTCGAAATAAAAACCAACACGGGCAAAACGGTTGTCATGTGCCAACCGTCACCCGACAAGAAATACAACACTCATCGAATCAATGTCCACGGAACCCAACTTAAAACCGTGGATAACTTTGCTTGTCTAGAAAGTGCACTCTCACGCAGTACAGAAATCGACGACGAGGTTGTCCATCGGCTCTCCGGAGCCAGCCAGGCCTTCGGCCAATTGCAAGCCTCCGTGTGGAATCGCCATAGCTTTCAACTGAACACCAGACTAATGGCTTACAAAGCCGTCGTCTTGACGACACTTCTGTACGGAGTGGAGACCTAGACCGTATACTTCAGCCATGCCAAGAAGCTCAATCACTTCTATCTCAGCTGCATTCGCAGAGTACAGAGGCTGAAATGGCAGGACAGGATCTCGGACACGGAAGTTCTGGACCGGACCTGAATCCTCCGCACCCACGCCATGTTGAGACAACCGCGACTGCGGCGGAGCGGCCACCTAGTGAGGATGGACGACGTGTAACTACCTAAAGATTCTTCTATAGAGATGTCGCTACGGTTGCTCACCGATAGGGAGGACGAAAACGGCACTACAAATACACTTTAAAGGACTCTCTGATGCGACTGCATATCAAACCGGACACCTGAGAGGACCTCAGCCAGGACAGACCGGCCTGGAGAAGAGCAGTGAAGACCAGATCGCCGCCGCCAAAGTCAAAAAGGCGGCTCCCAAGTCACAGGCACCTCGGATTTACAACGCCAACAGCCAACCGCTTTCAACATACCCACGCTGCCAACGCATACTTTGGGCGCGAATCGGCCTTGCCAGAAAGCTTGGGATGCAATGCAACAACAACTCAACAACACCAACTCCTCCTCCTACGAACACCCCTGCTGCCACCACTGCCTCAAATCCCACGACGGCAGCCATCCTCATCACCGTTAATCACATTGCCGATGTCCCGCCGCCCTCGATCATCGACATCATCCTCCTTTCCTCAACCCCTGCGCCGATCACAGCGGCCATTTCCATCAACGCCGCCACTTCTCCCGCTCCTACCAGTGATGATACGGTAGCCAACGCCCCCTCAACTACTATCTTCACCACCTCCGCCCCAAAGACCAGCAGTGGGGACTCGACCCCAACCTGTCCTCATTGCGACCGCACATTCACCTCACGCATTGACCTGGTCGGCAACTTGCGATTCCATCGAACTGTGATCGGTGAACCAGTTCCCCGAACCCCGACATACACTCGTCGCATCCGCCACACTGTCCACACACATTTGCTCACAGCATGGACTTGTTAGCTCACATACGCCTTCATGAAAACCTGCGGCAGAATACCCCAGGCTATACCATACCATCACATCTATCCTCACCAGCACCTACAGCATACATGACCACACCTAACATTACACAACGCAAGCACGTAATAAGCACGTCTCAAGTGAGTGGGAAGTGTGTTCCTCGGCTGCATATATGATCCGAATCTGAGACTATCACGGCGCGCCAAGCGTTGTGGCTTGGAAGGTTGACAACTGACGATGGAACTAAGACCTCGCGGTCAGAGCAGTGTTTGTGCGGAGTGGCCGACTGACAGACTGAGAGTTAGGATGTAATGGCTCCCTTTTAGCGTGACCTCTGGCACCCTCAAGCATATGAGACTCATGCCGCCCATTCCCTTCTACTGGAAATCTTGGTGCCTGTGTTTAGAGGGTTAGATAGTGGGTGAGGCACGTGCAGATGAGGTCACTAGCTATGACAGCCAGGGAGCTCACTCCCCGCACCAGACAACCGATCGGCTCGGACAGTGACTAGGGTCTAGAATGGTCTCCTCTAGGAGGTCTCCTCCTGCCTGCGATATGAGATCTTGGTCATTGTCCGTTGTGGATCAAGGGGGTGGTGACAAGCACAGGCACGGGTTCTCACCGCGCCAGCTACCTGTGCTCTATTCCGCCCCCGTCTTCCTGGCCGTTTTGATACCAGATCTTGATGGGGAAATAGGAGAGAGTGCGGTAGATGCTGCGCAAGTCTACAATCACAATAAGCTATTTCGCGCGCAAATCCCCGCCCCTGCTCTCACCCTATTGTGAAGAATACTGAACATCGTCAAAGTCGACGGTCGAACTATCATTATAAGGTCGGCGCGTTGACTGCGCTGCTACAGTGTAAGGAATTTGTGCCTGTTTAGGCGCTGCTCCGGGTTTGTATGTCGAAAGGGGAGTACAATACTAGTCATGTGGCCTTTAACTTTCTCCAAAATCCTCAGTGGAACATACGAAGCACGGAGACGGCGTCTATGAGCAGTTTTTGAGGTGTGGCCGAGCAAATTTAATGTACGGTAGGCAAGGCTTCGTTCAGTGAGGCGACGGAAACGTCTAATAAGGGAAAGTTTACTTCTAGTCTCAGCAACTTGTTTGATTTGTTAGGATGGTACCAAACTGACGGAAATTCTACTTCAAAACCGGTAGCTGACATGGTTTATGGGATCCCTTCGTTACTTAATGTTGTGTGCAGACGCATTTCGAAGCCTAATTCTGGGTTACTGGCGGGAAACTGGAAATCTCGCGTGTCTGATTCGGTATCTCATTGGTCAATCCATTCAAGAACTTGAACAAGATCCTCTCCGATGAAAGCATACATTCTTGACCTAAAAAAGTGATGTCATCTGCAAACACTTGACAGGTATTTGACATTATTCCTGCCGGCTCAGTAACGCAAAGAGCAACATCCTCAGCACAGACTTTTTAGGAACCCTGCTATGTACCGGTGAGGTAAGATCCAGTGTTCCAGGGAGCTATTAACATAGTTGATGATGTTCCAAGCTAGACTATATCCATAAGGCTTTTCAATAAGCCGAGAATGGCCATACTGGGATGAAGCAAAAAGACTCAACGTATCTCTTGCTGTCTATCTTCCTGCTCGGGATTTCTGCTGTAATGAGGAAGCTGGTAGGATATCGTTTGGCATATTTGAAGATAATAGGCAATGCCTTTGACGGTTCCGTATGGAAACCGTGCTGGCCGAGGCTTATAAATCTCCACCTGAACAGAACTAGCACAGACGAACGCGGATTACCTCCTCCAAGACTAGTGAGGCTGACTGAACAACACTTTGTTGCCGGTCACTAGGGTACCTGCTTGGTTAGAGTTACCTAAGGTCTGCTTCCAATCAGTTGCAACTATGGCCGTCCCAAGGATGGTGTTGCGCAAAATTTATATGCGTAGCTACGGTTGGGGAAAGAATTTTGGGTAACCTGAGCATAGGATTTCCGGTTCTGAGACATTATTTGGATCTCAGCGCGATAGGTACCCCTTGACTTCTGCTGGCCCACTTACCAACCTAGTCGATGGAGACGCAATCCTAAGAATAAGGAGGGGCGGGTCCGTTTAGTCGTCTATGCTTTCTCGTGATTCTCGATGTAGGCGCCACAAATTTTCGTGGGCGCAGACACACACAACCATGGTAGCATTTAGGCGCCCAGGGCTAGACATTTGGTTGACCGTTTGGATTTGTGGGCTAGTTCGGGGCTAGTAATCTAATTGGCTGACGGCGTGTGTGATGCCAGTCACAAGAAAAAATTCCTGCACGGAGAGATTGTCGAAAAGAGTCAGCCAATCACAAGAATAGCCCGCGACGGGCTAGCCCTGGGCAACTAAAATGCTACTAGGGAAGTTGTTTTTCATATACCCGAAAATATTGTTTCGGCATAGTTTTGGGTGAATCCTGATTAAGTCATCTGGGTTGTTTTTTCATTGAATGATACCACGCAGTTTTCGATCGTAGGTAGATGCATCTAACATTACTGTCCGCAATAGAGGAGAACGAGAATTCATTAGGCAAGCAAATTTTTGACTGCAGGCAGAAGCTATTTACAAGATAAGCGCGCACAAAACTTTCGGCACTAAATACAAATGGGACAGTCACTAAAAACGGAAATCATGAAGAAAGTACTGAGGTCCTCACCCAAAAACAAACCAACTGCCAGGTCTTGAGAACGAACGACTTTGTCTTACGCTCCAAAATCTGAACGCACTAAAAGTATTTTTGAGTGCGACATCAAGTCAGTCAAGCTAAAAGACATGTGAAGTAATCAGAGGACAAAGACCCCATAATAGTAATTTGATTCTTCTAAAAGCTTCCCAGGAACGAAACTTGAGCCTGTGGGAGTTTGTGTACCCTAGTTTCAACGTGGAACTGTGTGCAGTGCAAAGAGGATTAACCCAGATTAGGAAAGCTAAAAGAAGACAATAAGACCACGAAAATAAGCGTATGACTTTCAGGGAACGAGTATGGTTTCTTATCATTCTTGCCCGCTTTTAGAACGTAAACATCTCAAGGCTATTTAGAGCTTTCTATCGATGTCAAAATGATCGTAGGTGATTCTAATGTGACAGAAATTGACTGGCACACACCCACCCTTCCTCTCCTAGACTTCATAGGCTTCTAAACACCATTCGCCTTTCCAAATTGTCTCAATTAGTTCGCTCTTAGACCAGAAATGATAGTCTATTAGAGTTAATTTTTACTAATGGCATCTATGTGTTTCTATAGTGACCTTTTTGCAAGTGATCATGCAGTAGTTCATTGTCGCCTTCCAGATGCATTTCAGCAAAGCCTACAGTACAACCCAGCACTTTTGACTTTACTAATATTAACAAGCAGTTAATAAATAATTTTAAAAACATTCTTGATCGGCACAATATTTTTTTCAAATAATGAGCTAAATTTTTTCCACGATATATGACAGTGCGTAACAGAGGGTCTTCTCGACCTCATTCAACGTAAGATGTTTAAATCGAGTGTCACTTCCCCCGCTGTCCTACATTTTATTAAAAGCGGGTTTAAAAAGCTATGGAAGCAGTTTAAAGACCCTTCTGTGAGCTCATTATTAGTTCATCTAAGAATCGTTGAAATACTTGAATTAGCTTCGAAAATGATGCTCGAGCAAGATAGGCGTTGAGAATCTTTAGCTGTCAGTGGTGCAAATGTTTCTAGGTCTGTCGCTCAGGCCTTCCGTCAAAGACCATCTGCCAAATCCCACCAAGTCATCCCGCCTTTGCTTAGTACCAACGAAACCTTCATTCCAGAGTTGTCAGGCAAAGCATAAATGTTCATTGTTTGCCAAACATTTCACCATTGAAACTGATCCAATCCCTTTAATTCCTACGTTGTATGATGCCTCTCTCAGCATCATTTATTTTTTCTCCTGAAGTTATTCAAATACTGATAAACAATTTTCCTAACTCTCACTCAGTAGGTACGGACAATATCCCGAACTCTCTTATAAAGCAGCTAAGAGATTTTCCTCCTCTGCTTGACAAACTCTTTTCAATATTTCTCGTAAATGGCTTCTTTTCTGACTATTGGAAAACCTCTATGATCATTATAGTATCTAAGTCTGGCTGTCGTTCTGATGTTCAAACTATCAAATGGGTCCATAAAATATCTTCTCCCGTCAAAATCTTCGAAAAAATAATCGCCTTGAAAATTGACGAATTTGCATAACCAATCAAGTTGTTAGCCCTTTCCAGCATGGTTTTTTATCAGATCGCTCTTGTGAAACATGCCATCTGTCGTTTCTCAATCTACTAACTTCTCTTCGAAATGACTATCTATCTGTTGTCGTTATCTATTTTGATTTTAGTAAAGCCTTTGATAAAGTGTCACATAAAAGACTCTTGGTTAAATTAGACGCTTTGGGAGTTCGCAGTCACCTAATCGACTTTATAAAGTCATACCTGTCTAAGTAAGCAGGCTTCTGTTTCCTATTTCGCATTAATAATAGTTTAAGTCTCCCTCGAATTTCAGCACTTATTCCTAGTTGTCTCGCATACAATCGTCGCAATTCTTCCCTGATTATACCTCCTCCCGCTTCCTCCACCTCTAAGCGATCTCTTTTTTTCGCTTCCAAGTAAAATTTCCTCTGGAATAACCTTCCAATAAATAAAAAATCTTCAGATAATCTACAAACTCTTAAGAGAGGGCTGCGCCTTTATCTGAATACTGACTTGATTAAACTTTTATTTTCCTCATCCTTCCCGGACAACATTCTTTATGACAACGAGAAAGGGCCATCGGGAATGTAGGACGCCTTCACTAACTTTCCGTATCCGACCGCATTTTCTTCCTTTGTGTGTAATATCGCTTCCTAGGATCCCTCATCAGAAATGTTAATTTTCTGATTTTTCAGTTCATACATCACGCCCCTTACATAACGTGCTATCCTTCCTGACGAATCCTCTGGAAGAAGTGGCGTGGCTAGGTTGACGTGCACGTCCTAAGCCGCCTCAGCTTTGCCGACCAGATACGCTCGTTAGAATTCCACTCGGGCCCCCGCGATTTCGAACCCTTACCCCCAATCGTGGATTTTTGCGGTTCTTGAGACCATTTCCTCATTTTGACCCCAAGCGTTCTATCGACGCCCTTGGCGGCACCTTCCGCATTCGCCATCTTCTAGTAATTTCGTCGCATCTCCCTTGCCCCCCTCCTCGGTTTGACTGGAAGCGGACTGTGACTGGTCGCGTCTGGGTTCTTCTCGCCTGGTCACTTTGACGTGAACAGCCCCATCCGGCATATGGATTTTGTCTTGATAGTGTCCCTTCCGAACCTTTTACTGAATACAGCAAGCAGGCCAGTCCTGTCTGACCCGCATACTTACCTCTTCACGAAATCCGTTATACACTGCAACATGCAGGCCGGTTCTGCTCGTTTATTATCCTTTCATGAGCTACAGTTTTTTTCTCCTATAATTTTTGTCCGGTCATATTCATTTTGTTTATGTGTTAGAAGTATTTTCGCTGCTATCTCATCATTCTTCGTAGCAGACTACTTAATAAATATATTTGAATTAACTATTCTGTAGCTTCTGTCTACGTGTTCTAAAATTCATGTAACAATTTATTCTTACCTTCTTTGACCGGATCCCTACGGGTGTAGAATAAAAATGATTTATTTATTATGCACGACTTGTCAATGATGGCTAATAAACCAGAAGAGACCATTTCAGTCTCCCTAATCTCTGTCGGTAGTCTCACAGTGCACATGTATAAATTGCTTTAAGGTAACTGGTTTAGCAGGAAGGTTGTCCGCTTAGAGCTCTCTTTCCATGACCAAAAAAGATAGAAAACACGTTTTTAACAGTAAATATGCAAAAATGACCTCTCTGGTACGTTTGGGGCATACACACGCTGCCGTTCCTGGTACAAGCGTTCCTATATTCACAGAACCTTCTGAGTGCACAAGCACTAGTTCTACGTTCAAGTGCCTTAACGGTGTCTTGAAGCCAAACCTCAGAAGGGTGGCCGTTTCATGTTTAAATGTGCCTCCGTAAAAAGACATTTCGCCGAATTTTCTCATAGACCAACTTTCTCTGTAGGTTTGAAAGTGAGCGTGAGGGCTGCGCATACCGGTCAGCTCGGAGAAATCTTATAACTGTGAGACGCATTCGCCGTTTCTATTGATCCTATTGTTCTCGACGAGTTCGCCTTCTAGTTGCCCGTAATCCAGAGTAAACGAGCTAAGCTTATTCAATCAGACTTTTAAAACCGCGTCAAATGTCTTTATTGCATTCGTGACGCCGTGCTGGAATCTTTGGAGAGGTTGGGAGTTAAAAGTGGGAGCGAACGAACGCTTCGTATGTCTGACCACTCTGCACAAACGCCGTTATTGGCGCGAATATCATTTCGATTACTCGTTAAACCGCCTTTGCACTGTGCGGCGGGTGCCCAAGTGAAGAGGCCAATATAGCACCGACGTTTCTTTCTTCATCAACATTTGAGAAGGACTGCATATGGAGGACATGTTGGATGGAGGCGTCTACTTCCTTGCAAATTCTACTACGGACTTTCAGAACCACACACCTACCAACGTAAGCACTTGAGATCCAGCCCACAGACCAGCCACTGATTTGGCTAGCGTCTTGACAGTTTTCCTTATAAGCACCAGACCCAGTGGCTTACGGTGTTTAATATTATCTGCAAACACGATGACGCCGAGACATGGGTTATCAGAGCTATCGTTGGCGTGGACCACGAAAAGCAACGGTCATTGGACAAAGCCCATAATGCCTATAACGGGTGCGACAGGTCTGTTATTTCGTAAAAGTTACAGCAACTAATTTGGGTGTTGTCACGAGGGCAGGCCCGTTTTAACAGCATGACATTTGCGACGTATAGTGGGCACTTGCGGGACGACAGGTCGTTCCGATTGCGAAGTCAGACGCCGTATTACAAGAACGCATCACTATTCGGAGATTCGCCTATTGATAGTTTCCCTCGTGTTCAATCGATTATATCAATCTAGTCTGTCTGGGTGTTATGCGGAAGTTGCTGCATTTGTGACGAATAGGGTCCGCCGAATACCGGCAATGTTTACTGTATATATGTTCTATTGTTTTGTCTTCTTTTCTCGATTACTCCCACGATAATCATGTTTTGCTTCTGTATGTTAATGTTTTATATATCTTGTCATCCACGCTTGCAAATATCCCACGTAGATTTCGTCCGCCTTTTGGTGAATAATTTTGTTTCTGATTTTCTTATTTTATACAACAACGCCACTGTTGTTTGTAATGTCCATGCCCTTCCTCACTTACCCGGCGATGTCAGTCGGTTTGGAGTTTTGGACCGCTTTTCTACATTTCCGTTTGAATCATTTTTGCAAAACGTTCCCAAATGCATAAAAGGACCAAATAACGTCCCCGCACAGGTGTACGGACGGTACAGTGAGACGTCTACCTGAGTTGCCAGCATCTTCCATGTTGATGGACGCCGATGAAGGAGTCGCACGTTCTTTACAGTTATTCCGTGGGTCGACCGAAATCCTACATAACGAGTATGTTTTGTCCACGGAAGCGCCCGATAATGTGGTATTCATCGACGGTAGACCGTGCGTACTGACATTTGTGTCGGCTACCGAATTACAGTGAAGCCCCTTTATGGACTGCCGAGACATTTTTTACAACGTTCATGTACTCTTCCACGTTTTACATGTTTAAAGTCTTCGTTTTAACGGACTCTTTCACCACAGCTGCCCTTTCGGAAATCGTATGTTAATACGTTCCATTTAAAATTGAAGATAAATTATTCCTTGTTCTCCTGTTGCATAACTTTGATGAAAAATGACTTTTCCAGGTGACTTTATATCTCATCCTCTTTTTACACATTGTTCATGTGGAGTTTCGTGTATAGTAAGTATTTTATAAGTGCGCGGTCTGTCGAGTGTACGACTGCGATTGCCCACTATGCCGCACATGTAATCGGTCGTTAAGTTCATGGACGAAAATACGGTCGCCGTCGTCGCAAGCTCTTGGTTCGTGGACAAGAACTGTGTAATTTGGTCGCGGTTTGACAAACAGCGCGCAAGACTCTTAAAGAGGAACGAACGCCCGCCACAGGGTAGTAAAGTCTATCCAGTGAGGATTTTGAAAGCAAACCTCACTCTGGCGAAGGTCCGCCGTATGGCACATATGGCGGAAGGTACTGACCGCCTCTCCAGTACATAGCCCGAGGACATTGGCCACAAGCCAGTAAGCAAGTTCAACCTAGTGACTTCTTCAGAGTACCGATGACCAGAAAAAAGTCATGCAAATCTACGCAAACTAACTTAGCTATTATACGGTAACTCAGTTCTTCTTCAAGTTGACCTTTAATAAGTAGGAGAAGGGAGTCCTTCGCCCAGCAGATGGTGGCGTTGCTAAATGAGATGCACCAACTGAAGGCGATTGCTGTCGAAAATTTTGGCGTCCTTCAGCAGTCCGCAGTTCTTTTCCAACCCAAAGCATCTCCAGAGAGTCTGCCTTTGTGCATCATTGAGGCGTATGAAGACTTCATCTCTAGACTGCATGCTGAGCCACAGTTTGTTGAATTGATTTGAGGGAAATAGACATATGCCTTTGAACTCCCTATATGTGCATAACAAATCGATAGAATAAGCAAAAATGTGAAGAAATTACAGCATTGAGTGAAGGCAGACATTGATTCATATAGGCCACTTGTCTCATGGTTAAAACGTCATATAGTCTGCTTGTTGCTCCAGCATATGCCTGTCAAGCCGACATTTAAACGTCTCCACAGATTGAGACATGACGATCGTCTCGGGCAGGTTATTCAACGGTTCGACGACACGGTTGGAGAAGAAATACTTTCTCACATTCAATCTGCCCCGGGGCACACGTAGCTTGAAGGGATGTCCCCGGAGGTTAGTTGTAGTGAGGAGTTGGAAATAGTCATCTCACCGAAGGGCTCAGCTTACTATTGTGGGGGCCGCACTGAGGAGGAGTTTGCCCGGCATCTTCTGAGTGCTCTGTTAGGACCGCCCTTGTGCCTCAACTTCTGCTGGGGTGGTTCTACAGAAAAGCGCTCGTTCTCCGGTTCTCCGTTGTACCTCATTCTTAGCCGTGTGTCTACTTCTTTATAACATTGCAGAGACCATTCGGCAAAATACAGTATATAGTAACTGCTCGGAGGAGCTAGCTCGAAGAAGTGTAATCAATTGGTTTCATGGATTAAGAACCCCGTCTGGCAGCAGATCAAGACGCCGGGACAGCATCGGGAAAGTAGTTAATCATATTCCCTTTGTTCATAAGAATACATTTAGGTGTCAAAAGGAACCACCGATGCCGAACTCCTACCAACATTATCTGCGTCCGAGGGCACCGTTAGTCCGATTTTTAAATTATACGTCAATGTTAACATTAACATCGTGTTCACGACTGATGTAATACTAGATTAGAAAGTACATTTAAATGCCATAGGAAGGGTTTAAGCGACGTAAGTAGACATAGTTGCATTTCTTAACGTCATTTCTTGCAATTATTTGAGTAGTTTAAGTTCCCCCGCATATTAGGTATTTTATGTAACATCCAGTTGATAACCAGAGAGTTGACCATGAAATTGCCGTTTTTAAACAATGTATGTATGTATGTATGTATGTATATTGAAGGGTTACAGGCAGAGCCCTTGATGACCCTATTTATGTACAGCGCTTTCGCAGATTTATACTCAAAAATAAAATTAAACTGCAGGCATTTAAAATGTGATTGGGTCACAGTTCAATCGTAATCATAAGGTAGTGCATGGGGTCACTGTAAATTGGTGCGGAAGATTGTATATGACAGATTTTACAAAACTGGCTGTGCATAGTCATGCTGTACAAGCCGATTTCTGTCGAAAACTAGACGAGCAAGTTTTCTTTTAAACACACAAACTGTGTCAGCCGTCACCATCTCGCTTGGAAGCGAGTTCCACGGTCTGACAACCCGCTGGCTGAATGAAAATTTTCGTCGGTCTAAACGCGTGCGCTCATTCCCGACTTTGTGTGCATGCTGCTTCTTAAATTTATACTATGGTAAAAGTGGAAGTTTTTTAACTGAGGGTTTACTTTTTATTACAGAAAGCTTGCGGCGACAAAATTATAATGGCGAACTATTGCCACAATCGAACACGTGAACACGCTTATTTATTGCGTATTTCAAATCGAACGCTATTTTATTGCTTACCATTCCCGTTCAGCAGTCTAATTAAACTCTCTTTGCTTTTATTTATCGTTTTAGCACTTCATTTATTGCCGTCTCTTTTTTTCGGGATCTGCCGTAGACAACGAGCCCTTTTATACGCATTGGCTGATAATTTCTGCGATTGTGTGCACTTTCTTTTTATTTCTACTACTTCGTTTGTTAGCAAAAAAACTACTTCTCATATAATTGCGTTCATTGTCCGATACCGTTATGGAAAGCGTTGGGCGCGGATGCACTAGGACGTCTTCATATGTTTGGGTCACATGAGAGGACGCCGGACTACTATGTACCATGCGTAGGACATTATAATGAACCCTAGGGCAATAAAGTCGTTATCTCCAAATAGGGCGGGAAAGGCGGGAAGGAGGCGTCCCGCTGCGTATTTTTCTCGCATGAGGGGCCGATACGGGGCTGCGGCGTCGAAAACCCAACGACAGCCCAGCACTCCGCCCCGGTGTAGCCCCTTATCGCCACCTGAAGACCCGCAGGGTTTTAGAGGGTTCGGCGGGGCTGCTGCTGGCAGAGTTGATACTTTCAACTTTTGCGGCCCCCTGTATTTCAAATGTACCACCTTACGCCATAACTTCTTCTGGGCTCTCTCTATGGGTTCTGTCTAAGTAATCCATACTGGCCAATTTGCAGTTGTTTTAGGGTTAGAGGTCACCATGCTAGCAGCACATGTACTAGCTAAAAGCTCATACACGCGTGTTTCGCCGATATTCTGCCCCTGCGTGGCACAGCTGCGAGGAGTTTTGCTCATCAGTGGGTCCCTTAACATTCCCTATACGTTTTCCCTGTCTGTTTTGCGCTTGAATCGGACCGATTTTTCGCGGTTAAGGCATGAGACATTTTGAGCCTTAGAAAATCCTCCTTTCCATGCCAATTCTGTTAACCTGGCTTATATCGTAAGGAGGGTCCGCACCCATTCGTGACAGCGGTGAATTTTGTGGAGTGAACACAGCCTACTCGGTCAGGTGTCTCCAATCTTAACACGGAGTGCGTGCGAGTGCCAAATATGGCATTCAACATGTTAAAATGCAGATTCATAAGGGTAAAATAAAAGATCCCTTGATTACGAAAATTACGTTAACAGCGGATAACTGCACGACGAATGTCAAAGCACACGACGATGCCAATAGGAATAAATGTTGCGTGCAAAGATGATCCGTTCGTTGGTGCGGATTACCACAATTTAACGGGATGGCCGGTGGGGAAGATGTCCTCATTGTCAGACATGGGAAAGGGACGTGTGACCCAGAACTGGCGCTAGAGAATAAGACTGACAGACCTCTTGTGATGATGTGTCGGTGTTTTCTAGAGAAGGGGAACGTACACCAACAATACCACTGACACCAGTTCATACCAATCCCATCATGGATATATGCTAAAGTGAAGTGAAAGTCGTCGGCACATTCAAACAACTTTCATTCCACCCGCATTTTGCTGTCGCGGTTGATCATCCCGACTGTGGCGTCAGGATTCTAGGCGGAGGCCATGTTTCGGTTTGCATCCCTTTTTCGTTCATTTCGTAGACCAACTTTTACATTTGCAATCTCATCTCAGCGTTGCGTCCGCACGCTTGCAACTCAAGCTCCGAAGTCTTTCGTGTATCAAGATATACTGGCCTTTGAAAAACCCCCATATGCCACAACGCCCTTCAGGAAGATTTCTGGTAATTGAACCTCTTATTCATAATAACTTTCGTGTGGTATTCGCAAATTTATTTCTGACGAAAGCTTTTATTTTCAGCATTGCGCACTTGCACGTGCAATAAGGTGTACGGTATTAGTTGATTGCCATTAGCAAATAATGCCGGGACAGCCATGTCGACTGGGTGTCGATTTCGACCACACTTGATAGCGACCCGCTATTGAAAAGTCGACTTAAGCCTTAAACGGTAAGAACAGTATGTAAACTTCGACCTCGGAACCGCGTACATAAAGTGCCCTGTCCAAGTCTAACTCCGACTACTTTTTTGCACCCATTGCAACCTCGGTGGAACTAAATGTGAGATAAATCACCTGTTCCTAACAGTAGTCATAGACGGTCTATGAGGACTATCCGCGGTCGTCTAGTGGCTTCCTATAGAACGCCACTTGTTTGCTTGTCTGCCGGTCGTGGATTACTCCGCTCGCGGTTAACATCCTAAGCTCGAGGTCCGGCATCAAATCAACAGCGCACCTGTGATAACACTGCCCAGGGTAGAGTGACTGAAGCCTTCGTCCATCTTCCGGAGTCCATCTCGGGCTTCTGGCGTTGATCGCGTTGTGTGGACCTTTCGTAAGATCTTACAGGACAAAGGGATGTAAACTGTGTGACTATGCGACTTTGTCCCACAACCATAACCACTCCCTCCTGGCAGTGTCCGCAGACCTCTTCGTACAGGGCGTGCGTTTGCAGGATTCGCAAGTTCTGCCTAAATGAGACTAAAGGGACTGTGCCTGGGCGGCCTCTGTGCCAGTTCTGCTTTATAAAAATTCGTTTGGCGTTCGACAAAGTTGTATCCTATAGTCCATTCAATCCAACTGCGCCATTGAATGGGTTCTCACAAAGACCCTGCCGGTTTGAATTTGCGCCTGGGCGCCGACTGATTGATCTTAATTACACTAATGCCATCGCCCTGCTAGCCTCAAACTTTTGTCACCCGCAGTCCGCTGTATCGCGGGTGGATGAGGTAGCTAAGTCGATCGGTTTATCCATAGACGCTAGAAAGACCAACCTGTTTTTGACTTGAATCCCTGATTAGAAGAAGGCACTCCTCGGAATTTAGGGCTGTCAGCTTGGAGAAGTGGATAGTTTCAACTATTTCAGGCCAAAGACGCTACCGAATACACAGTAAACACGATATTGTCTTCCAAACTGCTGCTGCTCCTGGTTTTCCTCATAATCCTTGGGAAATTGTCTATGGACTCGACGCGACCATCTCCATCGCCACAAATATTCACATGTACGGGGCATCCGTTCGGTCAGTCCTTCGCGGTTGTTAGTGCTAGGCTTCGCGCGTGAAAGATTAGAAAAACTAGAGTTGCTTAACCACCGTCGCATGAAGCCCATCCTCCGAGCGTAATGCGTCGAATTAGTCTTAGACGAGACTTCACACACGTTGGGACAAAATCTCGGTAATATCTCTGTCCACCCAAGAAAGACGGCTGGGTGTAGTGCCGATGTCCGCTGTGAACATTTTCAACATAGAAAATTTCCTTTGCTATTCGACGTGCTCAGGTTGGCTTATTAGAACTGGCTGCATTGTACAGATACTGCCATCAGGGAATACGTTATTGGCACATACCATAGTTCCATCAATGCCGATGCACCTGTTCACCAATACACGCCTATGACACTCGTACAGTCTGCTATCATCACTGCCTAGGGACATTGGCAATCTCTATTCTTGCGAGGATGCAGATATTTAAGTTTGCCTCCTCGGTGCACCTCCATCATCGATCCTACTCAAACGCTTAGCAGTCTGTTTCAGAGATCACTGGCTTTCGTAGTAGTTTCCCCAGTTTTCAGGCAACCACCAAGGGGGAGCAAAGAAAATGGACTGAAGAGGCCGTTTCACTGCCCATCGTCCGAAAAACCCATTATGCTATGCAATATAAACCCTGTTTTTACTGTCATTTAAAGTCTGAGGCATTTAGTAAATCCCATTTACATCCAAACTACTCGTACACTGTTTCGGAGAAACTAGAGGTCCGACGGAAATAAACAACCCGAAAAGCTTCCACTACGCTCGTGTCAACATTCTCCTAAGAATGCTAAGCTAACGCAGAGACGGCCAATATTTTGGGCCCCACGAAGACTTGAACTTACATACTCATCTGTCTCGCTGAAAACCTCCCACCAGATATTCTGAGCAATCGTTTACCACTCGAAGAATGCAGTACGGACGGATTTACCCGGCGATCGGCCTTCGATGAGCCCATAGTCAGAAAGTTTTCGTTAAAAAGCACTTGCAAATGAAGTATATGGGGGAGTTGATAATTTTGGAATATGGCCAATATTGCAGACCAAAAGTAGGCGAATTCTAACTCTGGTCGTTTTCTACTGAACGGGGAAAGTCGTCGTTTTATAAATAGACTACGTTGTGCTTGTAAACTCCAACTTTTGTCCGCCGTTTGTCCCTATGATAAACGTGAACATTCTTAATTTGCATTTCGAAGACTGGTTAGAGCATAACGTATGGCAACTCCAACAAGAAAGAACAGAAAAACACAAATGCTCACACTTCAGTTCACTTATCCTCAACTGGCATAGAGGAAGTTACCACACCTAATGGGGTTTTGTACCCACAGTACATTCATATTGGGAATAATCGCATCCAAGCTCGACTAATTAGTCATATCTATGCAATCTAAATTCATGGACGTTTGGACTATGACATCACATGCCGACCGCAGTACTTTTTGAATTCTCGCGTCCTCCTTTTCCTTTTAAACTGTCTAGATCCGTATTTTGTTTTCCTATCGCAGGTGACTTTGTTAACGTCAAGAATATTGGTGGCAAGCGGGTCCTGCACGTTGAAGGCAAGGGCCTCACATTACTTGCCCAACAAGCGATGGTCGACGTTGCTCACCTCCTTCGCCCAGCTCATTTGCAGGCATGATCATGTCTTACAAACTATTTGTTTTCAGTCACTTGCGAATATCTTGAAAGACCCAGAAGCATCAAGTAATGACAAGTTCGTCGCTTTGGAATTGCTGAAAAACGCCAACATTGCAGCTGGCATGATCTTGCCCAGCTGCCAGGATACTGGCACTGCAATCGTTATGGGCAAGAAGGGCCAGTATGTGTGGACAGATGGTGATGACGCGGAGGCCCTCTCTCGCGGCATATACAATGCATATACCACTACCAATCTGCGTTATTCCCAGGTGAGTTCTTAGTTCTTTAGGCCGCTGCTACCAACTCCAACCTTCGTGTCGCAAGTAAGCAGACGTTTCTTTTTTCTCTGCTAAATTCTTGATTGCTGGCCGCCTATACTCAGGCCGTTCTACTTGGTGCTGTTGTGTTTCCTCTTACAAAATATTGAGCTTCCAGTAAGTCATACTTTCCTGTAAATACTACAGGTTGCTACTTCGGGAAAATCCTCAGCACCTTAGCATCTCATGCACAACTGGGTATCTATCTTCCTCAGTTTTGCTGCTCCTACCTATTTCGTTCAGTTGAACTGTTAAATGGCATCACCAGTCGATAGTAGTGAAAATGCGATTCCCAGATGGTTAATCAGGAGAAAAGGAGGCGTTCACCGGGACAGGTGTATTGGAGGTCTGACGTTTCGAACCTTCTGAACAGGGACAGTCACGGCGCGAGACAATCAGGCCCGTCAACTATCATCGCGGCCGACGAGGGCAGGGGCGATTCAGGTCACGGTGACATGCGGGTCGGATGCAGCCACACAGGGACCATTGGCGGGCCACACATCAAAGAAAGTGCGCCATATAAGGAGAGCTGTGCGCATGACTTCCCAGTCCCTGAAGATTGGTGGACGAAACAACTACTCTAAACGTCAGACCTCCAATACACCTCTCCCGGTGAACGCCTCCTTTTCTTTTGAGAATCACAAGTACTAGGCTTATAATCCCCGATTATTTATTCTTAGGCAGTGCGCGCAGCGTATTACTTGTTCATATTCATTGGCACCCAATTTCCGTGGTCTTTCATAATTTGAGATTCGATAAAGACGCTTTAAGCGACCACTGTCAACCTGCCTCAGCTTCGGCATCGATGTTTGACTGACCGAACGGCTGTATGCCTAATCTGCCCTAATTTACTTCTATTGTCCACCTGGAATCTCGGTTCTGTCCGATAATGACAAACCGTTGTCCGTTTTTGAATGATGGCTTCTACAGAACATTGTGCACATTACATTACCTAACCGCTTCAACCGTGAGGGTTTTAGCTGGCAGACATTTTGCAAGCGTCTGGGACATAAGGAGCCCTCGGAAGACGGTCTGTCCGCTAACCTATCAGTATACTGTCCATTTAGTCCACAGTTGATAGGAAATAGAACGAATTTTGCCCGCCATTCAATAAAACTTCCCTACCACTTCAGGGACTAGCGCCTCCCATAAAGCGGGCGGGTCTGGGGACCTTACGCGCATCACCTGATTCCTCATAGATATGCACGCCTTGTGCCGTGCACAGTGGAGTTGGCCAAAGCAACATTGCTGCTAGCCAAAACTAATTCATATTAAATGCAACCATCTCTAGCCCTTGGTTCTGAGTATTACATAAATACAGTATTAATTATTGTCGGTGTGGCCGGTTTTCTGAGTGCCTCAAACGGGGTAGTGCGACTACTGCCGGTCGCCCGAGGCGGGTGTAAGTTATGGGTTATCCCCGTGACGCAGTTGGGAACTAGATACTTTAGCCAGTAGTTGCGCATTTGTCCTCTCTGTCCCTGTTTGATGACAGCCGATCTCAGCGTTTTTAATCTTCATGTCAACTTTTTCTCTCAAGACACGTCCCCTGTTGCTCGATGTACGACAGCCACAGAGCATCAACAAATAGTCTCCTAGAGAGACTTTTCTTTTGTACATGAGGAGAATGTTGTAGTCTTAGCAAGCAGAAAGTTATGGCGAGGCTGAGCCGTGTATGCTAGCGTGTGTTTTCACCAGCGTGCAACCGGTGACAGAGGAAAGTCCGGGAAGATGAGGCTTGCTCTTTAGTTTGGGTGTGGGCAATCCGGTGCGTCCACAGGTGGTAGAACAATCCTTAGCAAGGGTTGGCTGCGAAATAGGTACTCTAATCTGACGAGCAAGCAGTCCCGGATCATGCATCGGTAATGTTTGGGCATGACTGGACATCAGTCCGGCGAATTAGTTACTAGTGTTACTAGCATTAGATGCACTACGTGGCGGATTTCGCCGGCCATTCTGTAAGTCTTCACATTTCGTCATGAGAATTAATCTCGAAAGGTCCAGCCGATGTGCTGAGGGGGTGGACGGAGATGTCCAGGTCATGCGGGGAACCATACCTCCATCAGGCCGCCCAACACCACCGCCCTCCGGCAAGTCGTGGCTGAATCGAACTTTTGGGCTACCGAAGGGCATTGGTCCACGCGCACTGGTTCGATTTGCCAGTGGTTAATAGCTCGAGAATGGTTATTTCTTGCCCAAACTACTGCCGGATTCAGAGGCAATTTTGTCGAACTGCGACCAGCTTTTAAGTAAAGTGTCGGTTGGAGTGTTGTGGAGACATGCCGTAATTGGTGTCAAAGGTAAGGCCTCCTGCGATGGATCGACCAGTGCTCGTGCGTCTGTGGGGTTTTGTGTATGTGACGGCACTCAACCCTATCAGGAGGATGAAATTGGGCACGACTGGCTACTGAAGGTATAGTATTGGCATACTGTTATAGACTTGGAAGCCATTGGCCTTGTTGGGTCGTCTAGTAGTACTCGACCACCTACCTTAGTCATAACCTCAGGAACTCTGCTTTCAGAATTCCATGCCATACCTTGTTCGTCCAGGCCCGTCTGTATTGTAGAAAGCAACGGGAATGGATGATCATATCTTGACGCGTGTAAGGCCTAACGAGGTTATTTAGGTACATACGGAATGGTTTCTCGCCCCGGGAACATATAGGCTTACACATTTGCAAGACCTAATGTAAAGTCACCCCCTTGTACCATTCTTCTCTGTCCGTGTTCGTGTGTTTACAACTCGCCACTTTCTCAAGCCTGCCAGTGTGTCGCCTTTCGTTCTGTTGCGGCAATATTTCAGCAGGCAACACAAAACACGAAGCCATAGACTGATTTTGAGGTTCAGACGTTACTCAAAATCTTGTTTTGCCTTCAACATCTTCCTTTCGTTACATGAAGATATTGCAATGGAGTAGCATCTCGCCACAGTCTTTAGTGGATGCAATCCTCAGTTTGATTACGCACCAATTCATCACGTTCACAAGACTGAGGGAACTGTTTCTGCGGCAAAGAATTGCCTCAGGAGGTACTAGAGTCCTAGTCTAAGTCATTTTGCTCCTGTAGCCCTGTATAAGGGAGGTTGCTCAGATAAGGATAGTTCGGCCTAAGTAAAAAGCTTCCGCGGCGACATTTTCGGCGTTTGATTCTGGCACTTTGGAGTAAGGACAATAGCCACCCGAAAGCCCTCCCGCGTGTCCCGTAGCACTGGTTGTCCTTTACGTTCAAACTATACAAGTGTATTTTACGCACCACACCCATTACATATTTTTGCTGTCACCGAATTGCAGCAGGATTGACTTATGAAGTTTTAAACCTGAGGGAAACACTCGTTCGCTGTCCATCAATATGAATTAAAAAGTTGAACAGGATTAAATGCACTTCGGATTCAGATCTCTCCGGACTGTCGACTTAGAATTTCTCAGGTCTTACATCACGAGTTTGCCGTCGATCCTCCCTCCCTCCGCACCTAACTGATCTCACTCTAAGATGTGCACGATTACGCTAATGGCGGTCTTAAACGCGTTATCCGATTGCTTTCCAACTCATTGTCAAGTAGTATGTGGCACTGTGAAGTAATCGCTTGCAAAGTACGTGTGAAATTTGAATCACTGCTATACGTAGCGAGAATGCCTTTAGACAGTAGTATTGGAAAACGGGAATAGGTTTTTTTGCCGTTGGCTTCCGAGTTCGCAGCTAACGGCCCCTCAGAGCTGATTATGATAGATGCTCTGTGGGTTCGACCTTCAGTGTACAGGCTCATCGCTCCGGTTCCAGAGAGAGTCCTGTCCAGAGTTTTAGTGACATCGGCAGGATGTTCGAATCAGGATACGGCCGATTGCATGCCGTTGCAGGACCACAGACCAGGGCTGAACTGTCAGATCGTGTGTGGGGTCGTAAGGTCTCCAGGACTTGTGTGCCCATCCAAATTATTAATCTTCACCCACTACGACTAGGCGTGTGGTCGATCCCTTCTTGCTTCTGTACGCAGGAGTGGTCATTTTCGTCCTTGTTTGGGCATAACCAATGACGACGACGCGAATATGTTGTTGACGTCGTTGACTAAGCTTATTTTTAGAAGTAAATTTTGGTCTCGGCATGGTTAAGAAGATATTTGTCAGTGCCAGACTGATTTTTCGGTCTATAGGACAGCCGCTCAAATGAAAGAGGCGGTCGAATTGATTGCGTAATGCCACCGGCATCCCCAGGGCGTGCCTGACCCCCGGGACTTCCACTCCCACTTGCCGTCCGTATAGTTTCGGGGCTCGCATTCTGTCTGCTCGCACACATGGATCAGGATTTCTGAGCGCTCCGCCCGTATTGTATGCGGAAGAATTAGCCCTACTGCCTTTGGACGCGACTGGATTTGCCATGTTCTAGATTGTTGAGGTACAACTGGGTCAAACGGCTGTCCGAGTAGTGTCTTCCGACCCAGTTTGTGAAGCAGCGATAGTGGGAACGCCATACATGGTGGCATACATCGATTTTCGATCATTCATCGAAAACTCTAATCAGCACACCTATCAAGTTAGAACAAAGGTGACTTGCCTTTGAAGTTGATTATTGTGCTGCAGACTTCCACATTACCCTCGCTGTCTTTTCCAGTGCAAGTCACCTTCCAGTTTCTAGACCTAATTTGCTTTGGCCGACCTGATATAACACCACTCTCTATGAGTGCCAACGTGTGACTGGTTTCTGTCCTATAATTAAACCAGGTTTCATAAAAACTTCTCGGCTTTTGAGGAACAAATCGGCCATTCCGCCTACTTTTGTTCGCCAGCTGCTATTTTTCGCACGACTTCATGGAACCAACAGCTAATTGACCTCCAAGTGAGCTCTAGTACAGTGGCTACGTCTCAGAGCTACACCTTCAATGCAACTTTAAATTGGTCGCTTTCCATGTAAACCTTTATCGTCTTGGAGGTACAGCCAGTGGCCAGTCTCGTGAAGCGTTGACCGAAATTCCGAAATGCGTTTTCCATTAGCAGGGATTGTTCAGGTGGGGTTGTAGTATTGGTCGCCTTGTGGCATAATCTGATAATACCTCGAACTCGCCGGAATTTTGGCTTTTGAACGCACTTCTTTCTGGCTGCCCGTAAGAACCACGCGGTAAAGTGGCCACTTAAGTAGTAAGTATTTCTGCATTGATTTTTTGATGCCTTAATAACTCCAGACGTATATATTGCAGAAAACATGCAAAAATTCCTACACTCATTTGATTGCAAGTCACGCCTCTTCAAATTATGTGCATCAAGAAAATGTGCGTTTCAGTTAAAAAAAAAATCTTTTAAAGTCTCGATTACTTTTTATTCCGATTTGACGTTCATGCAAAAAAACAATAACTAAAACAGCCCATGCAGAATAACGTTTGAAAATAGTTCTTTATTTGAGTTTGCACTTAAATATTCCTTAGGAATTAGTGTAATATCAAGTGTGGTGGCTAGCCAACAGCCTATAGTTTGAATATATGTTCTGAAACGCTCTCACGAGAATTGACTGTATTCTCTCCGTTCATTTATTCGTCGGATGCGGTTGACTAAGGCAAATGGGAATCCGCTTGATTTCACCAATAGGGGCGTCACAGAAATGAAAGTTATCTTCAGGCCAAATGTCGGCAGGCCGATCAGTGACTAGTTAATTTGAATAGAATCGATGGATACAACCATGAACACCCAACATTGTTTATGTTAAGAGAACTTTCTGTCAATTTCCTTGTTCTTTTTCCTGTGCTGGAATACTTTGAGTTCCAGCTCGTCCTTGAAGTATCGGTGAATATTTTACGGTCTTCAGTGTTTTCAATCGATTTCCCACAGAGGTGGATTCTGCGGCATGCGTTTTTGAAAATCGTTGAAATAAGATATTTCTTGAGGCATTTACCGAGGTAGTGTGTGCTTGGACATTCTAGTGCGAATGGTCGTATGGGCTATATTTGTAGACCCACCCAAACACGAAACCTCATCATCGTGAAAAATGAACGTATACGGTGGAAGGTCGCAACGAACGCGCTGTAGGTCAGTTGAAAAGCTCTAAGTGGTTTCTTTAAAAAACGCTTAAATAAGGTAATTTGTTGACATATCTGCCTACTTAACCTTTTCCCAGGGTAAAGTCGGGGTAGAAGTTGGAACTTCTGGTCAGCCTTTTTATTTACCTGGAAAATGGTGGATTTTTTTCCTTTGTAAGCGGAAGGACTCACTTCCCCGTTTTCTCCATATTTGCTTGCTTTTAAGCTGTTCTATGACTAATAAATGAACAATAAGGCCGCCATATAAATGCCAGGATATTGCTCAAACTGTTTTTCCCGTTCCGTTTTTAAACTACGAAATAGTGGAAACTATATCATACACTTAGTGGAGGACTCTTTCGCGTCAAGTTATTGCGTATTTGCAAAGGACCAGAAAACGTCGAAACCCTTGAACAACGGATTGCCTGTAGGCGTTATTACTGCATTCAAGGGCATGAAATCGTGCAGATTCGTTAATCTGACTTTCTAGGATCGAAAAATGTCTGGTTCTCTAAAAGTAATCTCACTACACCCTTCACATATGATTTAGGTGAAGAGAAAAAATCAAATTCTCAGCGCGGCAGGTTCCGTTTGTCAAAACTGAGGTTCAGATTTCTCTCCTCTAGTAAAAGAACGTGCACGAACGCGCAACCTTAGTTTATGTCAACTGTGTTTCGGGTGGCCTAAAAAGAATGCATTCAAAAGCCAACATCCTGAGGAGTCCGAAATACCATTTCATTATGCCGCACGATAATCAACCTTACCTAAGCGATTCTCTTCAATCGAGAACCCACCTCTGAATTCCGGCTAAAGTTTCATGAGATCGGTCATTGACTGTATATTTCCTTAATGGGAAGTTCATCTGTCGGGCCAAAACTACCGCACTAGTAATACGAAAAAGCACGACTTATTTTCCCTCTTGTTTGGACATCAAGGTTTGAATAAAGACCACTCCTATCTTATAGAGTTATTCAAGGCCACATGCGCGCCCCTTGCCATCGCGATAGCTTTCGACCTGTGAGCCAGATTCGTATGCGTTCGTGCCACGCCCTCGCGGCTTGTTAACTGCGGATTGTAAACAAATTCACGCCTTTTCTCTGAATTATTCACTTCAAGCATGCTTACTTCGCCCTTGTGCACACATTTAGCTATTGAATTCTGTGTTGATTTGCTGTATCGGAGGACTCGCGTAAGTAGTAGTTCCTCCGAATGAGCACTTTAAAGTCACAATGCTCGATTATAACATACCAGATCTAGAAACACCACAAGTATACAGTTTTTTTATATAGACACCAGTCCATTCCTCGATGTCGTTTTAAAGTGGACCGTTTATGCCCGGCTGGACAGTTTTTAAATTCCACATTTTCATCTATTGTATTAAGCAGATATGCCACTTCCAACTCTCCGACTACAGGCAATATCATTTTTATCCTGCCTCATAAGTTCTATCCGCTGACCCCACCTGACCCCAGAGTTGGCGTAGGCTGATAACAGTCTTGATTGGTTAAGACCTTCGACATAAGTGGTACAGTTGATTTTAATTTTGACTTAAATGTCGTTAGTGACCCTTAATTTTTTCGCCGAGTTTATTGGGTGGTATAGATCGCCGTTCAAATTGCGCACGATCTCCAAGACACCAGTTGGTCGAGGAATCTAGTCGATACTTCGAGCAACAAACCATGCACGTCGTAGCTAACTTAACTATCCACGAACACAGGCCATCCCGCTTAGCGTTAAAGCGACTCCAAAACAATGGACTTAAAATGCTGTTACCATTATGGGATTTCCATCGACGGTGTGGATACTTTACTGGGGTGTTTATAGTCCTGGCCAGGCGTGTTCTAATCAATCCCATTGCTCTTTTCTAGGTAGCTCCTCTGGATATGTTCACAGAAAAGAACACGGGCACCAATCTACCCGCTCAAATTGAGATATATTCTACTGGCGGCAGTGACTACAACTTCTTATTCATGGCAAAAGGCGGCGGTTCTGCAAACAAGAGCTTCCTCTTCCAACAAACCAAGGCTCTCCTGAACGAGGAGCGTCTCTACAAGTTTATTTCTGAAAAGCTGCTGGTAAGAAGCCGTACAGCGCTTTCCGCTAACCCAGTTTGTAGACCCTCGGAACCGCGGCCTGTCCGCCCTATCACCTCGCTGTTGTGATTGGGGGCACCTCGGCTGAATTCAATCTGAAGACCGTGAAACTGGCCTCTGCCAAGTACCTTGACAATCTACCCACCACAGGTATCTTGGTCTTCACTTGGTGGCCTTGCATATTTTGTGTACACGTACGCGATTGTCCTGTGTCGGGTGCCCAAAGCGCAGCTGTTACGCCAGACACTAGGGTCAATGCATGCACCTAGGACATGTAGGATAGAGCCCTTATGAAAAATCGGTCACTGCGCCTAGTTTGGTCTTCAGTCTGCCTGACTCGAATCGCCATTGGTACACGATGAACACAGGAAGGGAGGGTGATGCCGACCCCACGACACACTGGAGCCATTACAGCATCATAAAAGTCGTCATTTGGGGGGTTGCAAACTCCCAGTCCTCCGTACTGCCGATCGGATTGTCATGACGATAGTTCTCACCGCTGGTATCCTAGTTCCTGAGGTTTGTGCGAAACAAGAGAGCAGCACGTATGCAGTATTCGTGGATAGGGCCGAATGCTCACATGACCACTGTGTCCATGCCCATCAGTCGTATTAATTTGGTCTTGCCATTGAAGCATGGTGGGTGTGGAATGAGAGCTGGCGGTAGATGTTACACAACTCTCCGTCAACAAACCAAGTTACCCACCCGAGTCACCGCTGTCGGTGATGGTGTCTGTAAAATACCGCGAACAAACCATCAACAAAAATGGCTGTGAAAATTCGCTGTATGGAAAGAAAGCCATGTCCACAGAGGGGTGCAGCTGCGTGTCGTGGATTTAGACGCGAGTGGTGAGACTTATACGCCGCATTGAGAGCTTACTGTGGTCTCAAATTCGTGGTCAGGGTTCCTTTTTAAGTGTATTGTTGGTAATTCCCTCCCGGAGTAGCTCGCTTTTTTACTGAAATACTGCTTAGACTGTGACGTTCCGTCTTTTCTCCCACAGGTAATGAATATGGACGCGCCTTCCGCGATCTGGAGGCTGAACGCCGGGTGACCGAAATCAGCCAGAAACTGGGCATCGGCGCCCAGTTCGGTGGTAAGTACTTCTGTCACGACGTTCGCGTCATCCGGCTGCCACGCCACGGTGCCTCTTGTCCTGTTGGAATCGGCGTATCCTGCTCCGCTGATCGACAGGTTAGTAAATCCCTTGAATGTGTTGCTTCCCACGACGTTTCGCGCTGTTTTTCAGTAATCAAGCGCACCGAAGAACTATTGACCTGCCTCTTACGTATCTACTGTCGTAGTTCTTAAACAAGCCTCTCTGAGCGTAGTGTAGACTATACATACAGGCCGTCAATACAGCTTGAACCTTGAGAATCATAAATGTACGGCCGTTTTTTGTTTTTCGACCGCAACTCCAGTGGCCCTCTGAAAGTCCAGCCAGAGCGCGCGAATCAATCAATCATCAAACTACCCGATTAGGCCATGTTCATTTTCGCGGTGTTCGCATAAGAGGATTTAGTGGACTGCTTCAGGTCCAAATTTGAACGGCAGATGGAACCCTTCTAGATAGCGGTGTAGTACTACAGCCGTTTGACTTTTTGTTGATAACTGATTTACCATATCAGTGCTCAACCATTCCCGATTACTGCTGCATGGCCAACGACTGCCTATTCTTCAGACCCAAGAGCTGGGCGATTTCGCAGCTAGCTTTTACAGAAAACCAATATACTGTCCCTCACCTGTGCTTGCGATGGGCGACCCACAGGCAAACCCCGTTTTCCCGCGGTTCCTGTACTCGAGACCTTAATGGTCGGTCTTTTTAGTATTTGGAGGAGAAAAGGTTGCTTTATGAATAATTCCTATGGCTGTCGTTCGACCGCATACCCGTTCACCGGGTACGTGATCGTGCATAGATGGCCGGAATCAATAAACAGATGTTTCTAAGTGCTACTGACCGCGACATCGAGACAGTCAGTGACTATCCCACAGTGCTGAAGGTATATCCCATGGGAACCACAAAGTAAAATGTCAGTTATGCACCTTTTCGGCTCTTCCCTAAAAGGAGCTTCAGGATGGGGATTTTTATTTCATGGGTTTTCTGTGAATTTTTCGGCACAAGTGGACACCAAACAGCCACTCTCGATTTTTAATTTAGAGTTGTGTGCTTTTGCGCTTTCGTCCTTTTTGAGAGCTGACAGCCAAACAACAGGAGCCTGGACTCCCGTTTAATAGTGGTTCATAGTCACAAGGTTTGCGTCCTGTCAAGGAGTCCTACTTTGTTTTAATGCTTGGTCGATGTGCCAGGACTCAGTGCTGCACGCCAGCAGAGAACCGTCTCTGCTGGTCTAAGGCTGCATTTCCATCAGCGGGCGGCCTCGCTATCCGCCACCTTCAGTCGTGCCTGGTCGCAGGTCTGTTAAATTGATCACCTGTTTATATTCTCACAAACTATAATAATATTGTGTCGTGGTGAATGTTGTCCACTTCCTAGTAGGCATCAGTCGCCCGCCGCAATTCTGGCAGGGCGAACGGACATGTGCCCATTTGATTCCAGGAGCCTCTGGAAGTCGGGCCTCCACCAAGCTGCTCCACGCAACCACTCTAACAGACCACACCTCCAGAAGCGAAGAGACGAGTCCCACGCCTTTATGGAGTTTCTGAATGATCGGGTAGCTACGGGCTGGGGTTGAACTTGACAGGGATCAGTGGCGCAGCGAGGAGTATTTCTCTGCCCAGTCATGGACGCACCAAGCCGCCACCGGCAAAGCCAACTGACTAACCTACATCTACTTTTAGCCTTACGGGAGCTGAGACGTGTCGGGCTCACCCATTCTCCTCGGGTTATTACAGCTTTTTGGGGGGAGACTTCATATTTGGTCGCGCTCCAGACAAACGTCGAAGGGGAAGTGGATTCAGAAGTTGGGCTATCAGAGACGGCGTCACTGTGGGCCCCACTTTTTATGTAATTCGGATCGACGCGTTTTGACAACGTCTGTATGCATGAGTATTGTACATACGCGGGTGCGTAGTAAGGTATGCATTATCTTGCATAGGCGTTGGCCGATGTCATCGAAGTTTTGCAACTGTAGCCAAATATCTGGTCTTTTTATGGATTCCTATTATTGTTTCGGGCTCAGGATGTGAAGACATCCTACCGATACTTTTGATCGTCCTAACGCCAACCTTAAATCAATTTCAGGCGACCCTGTTCTCGCGACTTGCTTTTTGCCATTGATAGGCAGTCGTGATTAGATAAGGCTTAGGGACAGCACCGGAGTAGGAGTAATTTTAAGTCTAAGGAACTGCAGAGGTCATTTTAGATGTGAGAAGGGGTTTGGCGCGGATTGTTTTTGGTTTGATTAATCTATCGGATGGAGTCCCAATGCCAGATTTGACACTTCGACAGGCTTCATAAGAAGCTTCTCGAGTGAAAATTTCGACGGCCCTACTAACAGTACCTCTGTTTCTGGTTAAGACCAGGTCTCGCCCTGAGTTTGTGACGCCCAGAAGGCACCACCCACTTTGTCACTTCGCCGTGTGAGACTCCCACAGATGTACATAATAAGTGCAGTGCACTCTGTTCACCTATAATGTTTGAGTTTATAATGAACGATTTGGCAGACGTGTGTTGTTAACGCCACACCTATCGTTTGCGATAGGCTTGTTGTATCTATTCTGAGCTACTTTTCTTTGATTTCTGTCAGGCTCTTGGAAAAATTACGGGCGATGGCATTTTTGTCGAGCAACTCGAGAACGATCCGGCGCGCTATCTGCCTGACCCATCTTCCTCTCACCTCTCTGACACTGCTGTCAAGATCAATCTAAATGAGCCCATGGATAAGGTCCTCGCTGAGCTCTCCAAGCATCCCGTCCGAACCCGCGTTTCATTGACCGGTACTTTAGTCGTTGGTCGTGATATCGCTCACGCCAAAATAAAGGTCAGTTGACCACAACTACTTATTTCGGTTCTTTACTTTAATAAAGCCAGCAGTACCCTCTTTTCTATAAAGGAACGCCTTGATGCTGGTGAACCAATGCCCGAGTACATGAGAAACCACCCAATCTACTATGCCGGTCCGGCAAAAACACCTGAGGGTTACGCCAGCGGCTCCTTCGGACCAACCACTGCCGGGAGAATGGACAGCTACGTCGATCTATTTCAGTCCAAAGGTGGAAGTATGATTATGCTAGCTAAGGGTAACCGTTCCAAGGAGGTACGTTGTGCTCCTAAGTGAGGTCGCGTCTATTTCTTTGGTCGTCCATCTATGGTTTATTTCGGTAACTTTTAGGTGACCAATGCTTGTAAGAAGCATGGAGGTTTCTACCTAGGCTCAATTGGTGGTCCCGCAGCTATCCTGGCCAAAAACAACATCAAGAAGGTGGAGGTTTTGGAATACCCTGAACTCGGGATGGAAGCCATTTTCCGCGTCGAAGTCGAAAACTTCCCAGCCTTCATTGTTGTTGATGATAAGGGTAACGATTTCTTCCAGGAGTGGCAAGTGTAATCATTGGCTGGATTGGTCCTCCTCAAAAGTGCATTAACTGTCGCCGCCTGCGCAGTATCTTTCAAAGCGCCGTTTCTCGTGGTTTCTGCCTCTTTTCTTCACCAAAGACTTGTTCGTCTCGGTAGATTTTCTCACTTGTTCATGTGTTAGTTAACTTTGTACTTTTAGCCCGTTTAATCAGTAAATATGTTCAGTCCTGACTTGACTATCCTTCTGGGTCATATAGTTCGCCTCTGATTTGCTCAGCGCATGGTTTCTACCGAAGGTCAGTTTTTGCCAGTTAGAAAATTGTGCCAGATCATCGCTTATATCTCGCTTGCCCAGGCTAACTCCTATCGGTTCTCATTCAGTTCACTGCGAACTTCGCCGGTGGGTAGTCAGGTCACCGGACTTCCTTAAACGGTTCCACCTTACTGTCAAATTACGAAACCAGGTCAGATGAGATGAAGTTGAAAGTCATCGGAACCTGCGTTGGGTCGTGCTATTTATATGATGGTAGAAAGCCAAATTCATGAGACTAAAATCAAAACATATATGTGAGGAGTGGTCACCTATCTCTATTTGTAGTCGTATGTCGGCTTCCTGCTAGAAGCTCCTAACAGCTATGCCGTGAGTTAAGTTTTTCTGATGTTTGCAGAAAGTGGCTTATTTTGGAAAATAAATCGTCAACAATTCGTTCCTCGTACGGGTAATTTAATAAATTTCTCGGCCTGTTTTTTCTGCAAATTATTTTGAACACGAATGTCCGTTCCTCAAATATATCCGAGCCTCTTCTGTTTTCAAAGCATGCTGTCCATAGGGCATCTCACAGCCTTAGTGAATAACTATTCAGTTTTCTACCAGACGGTCTTCTCAGTAATCTAGAGCGAATTCATCTAACAGGATTGAGAGTCCGCAGCCGATCAACCGCGCTTTATTTGCCACCTATATTTTACGGGCTATCGACTGACTGGAAGCGTGGTCACAGTGGATACAGTTTGGCATTGCTTGGACGTTGTTTACTCCGGCTTCCTGAATTCTCGCGCCATGGTGTCCAAGTTGTCCGATAAGTGCGAACCGTGACTGGAAACTGCGACTATTGTGGGGCAAACGGGAACCGTTTCTTTGAGTATGATGTTCTGGGCAGTGGAGAGCAGGTTGTGATCACGGACATTGTATGGCCAACGTCGATCTGGATCGCCGACGTGTGCTAACAGTGCTGTTATGTTGGGAAGGGTTGGATATGGATGATGTTGGTCCTCAGCCGTCCGATTCACATTCCTACTTGGCCTGCAATATTCCGATGGTTTCAGGAGTTATTACCCAGGTTTATCGGCAGATCGTGACAAATGTCAATACTTGGGGGGGTTCCCCAGTCTCCCGGTACTTACACTTGGTACGACTGCGATCATGTCTGGTCTGGTCACCCTCGATGTTCCTAACTGTACCTCTCAACGCGCGACGATCCGCGGCAGCAGATCTGGACAGTTTTGCCTATTTCCATCGCCAACAACAGAGACCGAATACCGAAGGTCTTGAACCACCTCCATGTCTTGACGAACTGTGTCGAGCCAGGTTTTGAGTTGACCCCCTCCACTTCGACGCCTCCAATAGGGTAACGGTGGCGGACCGAGGGCAGTAACGCTGAGCTCCTGAGGTGGACGACGAAGAACATGCCCAAACCATCCCAGTCGTCTTTTCTGTATGGCCTGGGTTATCCGGGCGACGTCGCAGCGGTTGCGGACTGCCTCATTCGAGACGAATTCGATTTACTTAACTCGGAGGATGGTCCTCAAGCAGTGTTAGTCAAATACCTCCAATTTTCGCATATCTTCCATGCGCACAACCCAGCATTAACAATGATGCAGAAGGACTGGCCGGACAGATGCGCGGTACACGCGAATTTTCGTGTGATGTAGATGCAGCGTCGTGTCCATAGGGACTTTATAAAGCTTGAGAAAAGCCTGCGAGCAGCATCAATTCGGGAGATAATGTCGTCAGTAATCTGTCCATTCGACTGCAACCTCGCTCTGAGGTATATAAAACCGTCTACTTCTGTAAGTCAACGGTCATCAATCCGGAGAGGTGCCTTCTCCTGGTCAGGGATGCAGCCTGAAATCACTTTGGTCTTCCCAGTGTTTGTGGATAAGCTTACCGATTTAGCGACATCGTTCACCCATCATACCATGGACTGCAGATCATCAAAACTGGAAGCTAGTAAGGCGATATTGTCGTCATCATATTTGAGATCAGTCAGCTGGTGTCTGCGTGCAAGCTCAACGCCGTCATCTTCTTGTAGGGCCCTCCCGAGAACCCATTTAATAGCGTATTTGAACAGAATTGGCGACAGGATACAGTCTTGTCGAACACCAGATCGAATACCGAACAGTTAGGAAAGATTGTTATGTGCCAGAACTGGTGCAGTGGAGGAGTGGTAACAGGCCTTGATCATGACAGTGATTTGTGGCGGTACACTATCTAGGGCCATTATCTGCCATAGGGATTCGCGATGGATGGGATCGAACGCGGCAGCAAAGTCAACAAAACAGACGGTCGCTGGTAGAGATTTTGGAATTCGGGAATGCGCCTCAGCGTGAATACCTGGTCCGCAGATCCACGTCAAGTACGGAATCCTGCTTGGTTGGGCTTCATTCAAGAGTCCTGAACAGCCTGGAATCGCCTGAGAACAGTGGTGAAGATCCTCGTAACAACGTCGATGGGGCTTATGCCGTGGTAGTTCTCACGGCAGGGGTTGGGTGTGGGACTCCACCTACCTTCAGGTAGCCTGTGGGCCGTGTCATGCGTGTAATAGTGGTAGAGAGGGCTTGACGGGTGGGGCAACACGCAGAACGAAGAGCAGGCGGAATGCATGAAGGCACAGAAAAAAGTAAATTCCTGCCGAGAGCCCTTTTGCGTGTTGTCATATGGCGATGGAAGTGTGTGGTAATTTAAAAAATAAGCAATTTCCAGAAACAACATATTTTGAATAAACCGCCGGTGGCGAGTTTAGATTAAGTCAGGAAGCTCAGGAAATTTCAACCAATAGGAACGACGAATAGCAGGTGATGTCGGCGGCCACACGGAGTTTTAGTGTACATGCTGGGGTTGCCACCTACGCGGGGTCCTGCACCCTACCGTCACCGTTCTCCCTTCCTGAGGATAGGTACAAAGATGCCTGAGCCCCAGTCATCAGGAAAAACCGCCTCCACGGTTGTCCAGTCATCTCATGAAGCCAGGGCGCCAATGTCGAAACAAGACTTGTAAAATTCGACAGGTATACCGTCCTCTCCGGGTGCTCTGTTTTTGCGTAGGCTTTGTATGGCATCGGCGACTTCTTTTTCAGAAGGGGGTCGCATGACACTACATAGATTGGAGAGGGTGCTCGAAATGCTCACGCCAGCGTTCGACTTTGGCCGAGTTGTCAGCAATAAAGCCGCCATTTACGTCGCGAACTGAGTCACTCAATGAATAGGGCTTGCCACTAACTTGGTGGATAAGTTTGTAGGGTTTTTGAGTGTCACCAACGTTCGAAGGCTGCTCCATGGAGGTCACTGCTTCAGCCCAATATTCCTTTCTGTCATCCCTGGCCAACTTTGCCGTTATCTTCCGAAGTTAGCGGACGAAGTCATTATTGTGGGACCTGACTCGAGCCGTCTGAGCAGACAACTGCAGGCTTCTTCCGCCGATCCACTCACTGCAGCGTCGTTGGGTATATCCAGGGATTTTCTCAACTGCCCCTAGTAATGATATTTTCAGTGGCGATCACTTGTTACTGCCTTCTCTGTCGACTTGGGTCTTAAAGCAGAACCAGATTTCCCTGATCAGGGCCTCGGCAGTGCAGGTTTGCCAGATTTTTGCAACACCGAAGTGTCCAGGACGTGGCATTTTTGGCGCGCATGAGAGGTGAACTTTCAAGCGCGTATAAGCGAGGACATGGTCCGATCCATGGGCGTTACCAGTTTCGGCACAACGCATCGATCTGCTATCGTGAACCCAGCTGCTGAACCTTGAGCTGACTAGTATGTAGTCAACCTGACTGGCTATATGACCTTCGTTTGAACACCAAGTCAGCAAATGTTTTTGGCGATGCTGGAAGCACGTGTTGGTGGAAAACGGTTGTGATTAGCAAAATTCAGCACCTCGCCATTGTTGCACTGAGAACAAACTCCAAGGCGGCCAGTAAGATGACTGTTTGTAGGGTCGCCAGGTCTAGTTCGGTCATTCCGGTCACCTGCAATAAGCAGCAGATCGTGGCAAGGGAGTCTTTCAACTAACGCTTGCAGCTGCGAGTAAGCAGAGTCTTTATCGTGCTGCTTGGCAGTTGAGGTTGGTGACTATAGGCATGTCCGTGAAGTAACCCTTCGGTCGGGCGTAGGCCATCCGGTAATCGACTGGTTCCCAAGCAAGTAAGGCGTGGCTCGCTTGTGAGAAGACGATCGCCGCCATGTCCACGAGAATCGCGTGGGCCGCTGTAGTACAGGAGGAAGTGTGAGTCGATTCCCCGGATGTTTATCTCCCGAGAGTTTGGGTCAGGAAATCGGACTTCAGACAGGCAGCAGACATCCACATAGTACTGATGAGGACTGTGCGCCGTCAGACTTTGAGTACCAGAAGCCAAGAACTTTCGCACATTCCAGCATCCCATACCAGGAGTCCTTCCCCGACTGAGTAGTCCAGCTCGCATATTATTCGTCCGCACCACTAGACCAGGTTTGCGGAGTGCGTTGGTTCCCGCGGACGCCGTAGTAGTGATCGTAATACTGTCGTCGTACATGTAACATGAGGTTTCTTAGGAATTTCGAGTACGTGCGGTTCCCCAACGGTCGCCCGGATCGTTTGTCCGAGGTTGTCCCCCCTGACGCTTTGGCTCAAGAGCCCAACCAAAGGGCAGCGGTGGCAAGCAAACTTATTTAGTGACGTTTCACGGTCGCCATGCCGCAACGGCATCATCGGGCTTTGCGGCTTTTTGTAAGGCTTTCAGCGAGCCAGACCTCAGCCCACCACACCCTAGTAGCACTGCC